GTTTGTTTAAACGCGCTAATCTCAGAAACTACTAATCCGATTTGAAAAGTTCAGCCAGCAGCAGAATTCCATACTTACATTATTGCATAGTGACAAACTCGGACAAAGCGAGAGTAAGTCGCTAGTTCTTTATAATATTTTTGTATAACGATTGTAGTCGTCTAACGCAATACGATGTGCACTACCCAAAATTTCATATTGGACCTATGATGAGAATTTCGATTTCCTCATATCATAGGAGGATTTATCAGCTCGTATAAATCCTCTTATTCTAGTTTGCAATATTATTTCTGTATGTACGTATGTATATATGTATTCACTATTTCGCCGTTTTTAACGTCCCACTGCTGGGCGTGGGCCTCCCTTTAGTACGAGGGAGATCAGGCCACAGTCTACCACGCTCGCCAAGTGCAGGTTGGCGGACTTCACATGTATTTTGAAAACTTGCTAGGTTTTCTCAGACATGCAGGTTTCTTCACGATGTTTTCCTTCACCGTTAAGACACGTGATAATCATGTTGGAAATGATTCGCACATGAAAATATCAGAGGTGCGAGACCCGGGATTTGAACCACTCGTTTTCCCGAGCGAACGCGTTACCATTGGGCTACCACTTCTGTATATCTCAGTAGAAATAACGTGTAGCTATAAATATAAATGGTACACTATTTATTTACTACAAAATATAAGGACATGGAAAAATGACAACATAATATCATAACGTGACTACAACATAACCTTTAAAAGTCGACCTATAATATTATAGAATTAATAACATTGTTTAAGTAAAACATGTTTTACAGACACGAGTTAAAACTTTAGTGTTTATATTAGGCATTAGTAAATATAAATATTATTAGATGAACTGCATATGTACCTATAGTTTTATCGTAAAATTGTGGTTTATGGCTTTGCATGGGTACTTTCACCTCTTTCGGTAGCAATTACAATTTTAAAGTCGTATAAAAAGTTGTGCAAATCTATACATAAATAAAAATGAATCACCGAATTGTATGTACGCGCATAACTTTCGATCGACTGCATCAAATTGGATAATTCTTTTTTTTTGTGTTTCTTATTGTCAGAACAAGTTTTATATAGTATAAGATTTTTTTTACTAAAATAAGTTTTTTTTAAATCATAACATATGAAAAGTGAGTGAGTGAAATAGTTTTTATCCCGGAAATCATCCCTGAAGGGGGTAAGAATGGGGATGAAAGTTTGTATGGGGAAGAAAGCTAGTATTATTTAAAGTTTACTTTAAATTTTATTTCTACTACAAAGTTTTAATATGGGATTTCATGTAATATTCCCGAATAAGGTAGGTACCTACCTTATTAATATATGTACATATTTCCTACGGTAAAAGATCAAAATTGCTAAAGTTCAAAAAAAAAAACAAAATGTTTGAAACATAACATTTGTTTTACTTTTTTTTTATTTACACATTCTCACTCTGAATTTATACACTCGCGACAGTTTAGAACCCAAACATATTGTAATATAATACTTTATACAACATATATTTTATTGGCATATTCTAAAAATATTGTGATTTTTTCCTTATTTGGTGATTTAAATTGAACTACGAGTAAAAACTAAAATTTTGTATCTTTTAGCTTTAGAATTGACAATGTTAGTTCAGATTTCCTAGAATACTGAGTCTTGGACTATATGGGCTAACCATAGCGACCATATACTAAGACCCCTGACCAAACATGGCATTTTCGGTTTGCCCACCCATCCAGGTCAAACGATTTTGTCATAGATATAGTTAAATCGCTTTAGTTAGTAAATCGTCATATCTATACATATAATAAAATTGTAACTATGCCAGAATCTGTACATTAGATATTTTTTGGAAAATCTTATTGAAATAAGCATTATTATCGATACAGAAGCCGAATCTATAGTTTTTAGAATTTTGTCTGTCTGTCTGTCAGAATGTCTGTCTGTCTGTCTGTTACCGCATCACTAGAAAACCACTGGACAGATTTTGATGATAGCTGGTTATCCGGGTCAACATACAGAATACTTTTTATCGCGAGGAAATATCTCATTTCTGAGAAAAAATACAAAAACTGCATTGTAAGAGTATACTAATATGTAAAACCTAAGTTTGGTTTTAAGTCATCTAAACGCGGGCGGAGCCGCGTTTAATGCTAGTAGATATAATAAAACACTGTACCAAAAACGCAAGCAATATTGTAGAGAGTGATTTTTTTTTTACCTTTTTATATCGTCATCGAGTGAAAGAGCCGTACACGCGCTGTTGGCCAACTCGGGGTTATCGCGTTTGCAACACAAATTAAGTAATGATTTTATTATCATAATTATAACACAACTTTTAAATAATAGTAATGTTATATAAATTACAGTAATTGAAAACTTTTTCCGTTTCTTTGATACAATATGTTCGCGCCTAATTTATTTCTAATATCAATGTGTTTGTTGTTAAAATACAAAACAAAGACTAACAATATTAATATTAAAATCGATAAGATATGAAGAATCTGAAATAAAAAACACTACGCCAGAGATTACGCTACAGGTTATTGGTTTATTAACATACAAGTGTATTGTCCTAATCAGTTTTCTATAAATACATACATACGTGGCCTATGTAGGTACTTCTATGAATCGTATTGTTTACAACGACGACGGTGTAAACAGATAAAATTTGAAAAAAAAATAACAAATACTCTCTTAAATTACCTACGCGAATATTTGATCTTTTTAATATTTTAATACTTCCTTAAAACACGCTAATCTATATATGTATATATATATAATGCTTTGTCCTGACTGACTGATCAATCAACGCACAGCCTAAAACCGCTGGTCGTAGAAACGTGAGACTTGGAGGACATATTCCTTTTATAATGTAAGCACCCGCTAAGAAAGGGTTTTTCGAAATTCATCCCCTAAGGGGGTAAAATAGGGGATAAAAGATTGTATGAAACTTTTATTCTTAACGAGAAAAACACAGAAAATGGTATTTAGCTTTAATATGAAAAATAAGAAATATATGTATAATTTTTTTTTCGAAATTCATCCCTTAAAAGGGTAAAAGGGGGTGAAAAGGTTTATATGGGCAAACAATTATTTATGATCAGAATTACTTGAAACTTGGTATTTATGCTCTTTAATACAATTAAATAAACATGTATTTTAGATATTTTTTAAGTTCGGCCAATAAGTGGATAAACTAGGCGATAAAGTTAAAGTTGTTGAATATATTTAAACGGAGTAACATAACTCAAGTTCTCTAGTGCACACTTATTATTATTATATTATTATGTGGATATAAAGTAGATAACGGAGATTATTCCAAACCCAAAAGAAAATTATGCATAACTTCTCGGCTGGCCGTATTAGGTAGGTTTGGTATTAGGCGTAGACTTAGAGAGGATAGCTATTTTAGCATAACCCAAAACTAAACAGAACATCCATCAGTGTGGTATATTTGTGGTTGGGTTTTTTAGTGTAGACTAAGTTAAGTGAATCTAGAGTTTTTACTCTAGACATAATATTAAAAAATCGATATGCCAACATTCAATGAAAGTTAAAACTGAGCAAATTTTTCAGTCCACGCGAGCGTAGCCGCGGACAAAAAGCTACAGCAAAATAAGAATGACACTTTATATATGTAACTTAAAAAAGAAGGAGAAGGAGGGAGACTGTAAGCTTCAGGTGTATATAACATTGGATCTTTTATAATAACGTAGATGTTAGCCTATTAGTATGTTAATAAAAAAACCGTTGATTATATATCATAGGTCCGGGTTCGAATCCCAGTCGCATACAAAGTTTTTTCTTTTTTTTTGTATTTATTCAAGTTTTTAGTTTAAAAAAAAAAGAAAATTGTACTTATGGCCAAAAACTCCCGAGCGAAGCTCGGTCGCCCAGGTATAGTTAGTTAAAAACCCATAGATATTAGCCGTGTGATGTGTTACATGATTCTAAAATCGTGAACATTGTATACGATAGTGAATCCAACTCTCTTCCTCTGACTTTGGAAAGATGGAGTAGAAAAATGAGTAAAAACACAGGTAGTGGAGCTTACTAAATAACTAAAATGAAAATTTATTTACAGAATATGTAATCTACGAGTATGTTTAACATCTTTTAAGATATTGGATATTTCGAGTTACAATCGCTAAAATTAAATTTGTTTTCTTTATATCTTTAAGAACACAAAATCTTACACGAACTTATTTTTGCAAATAATAAAGTATGTGTAGCGAAAAAGTTTTTTTTCCGTAATTTGGTCGTGGGTGAAGCCGTGGGTTGCGCTAGTTAAAAAAAAGAATTTTTCGCGGATTTATTTTGATTTTTGGTTCCCGATGTTTCGAATGTCTTACACTTTACAGCAATCATGGTCATGGGAGAAACATATCCAGAAAATTTAAAATAAAACTATTTCTTTCTGGATTTCGGATTTATTTTCACGGGTTTATTTCCTTTTGTTCCTGAAGTTTCACAAATAATTTATGCGAAACTAGCAGCTCACCCTCGCTTCGCTCGGGTGCGTCGCTAGGTACGTTTTAAATGGATATAAATAGTTATTAGCCACCGTAAGCAATATAAATTTTTATAATTTTTTTTTGGTGAAATTTTCCGGTGTTTTAATACTTATTACCCTATTCCGGACTAAGAGAAATCCAAAAAATCAAATATCATAAAAATTGGTCCAGTCGTTCTCGAGTTATAAATGGTGTAACTATTTTCACGCGGCCCCAACCACATATTTTATTACATGGGAAAATGGGGAAAATGGGAAGAAATGTTCCCCATACAATAAAGTTTTTGGTGTAAGAAATATCATGCAGATATTAAAGGGTAATTTGTAATATTCTTTGAAAAACGCTACATCTTTCATTATTGTGAACTTGCTGTCGATTTTTTCTCACTATAAGTCCCCACTAGTAGTAAAAATAAGTACGCAAATAGTTAAATTTATGTAGTTAATAGAAAAGATCATATAAATCATAACATCACCTGTCCGCTGGTATCATGTCCGCGGTGTCGTCCTCCATAGACTCGTCGCCAACTATCACCTCCAACTGCATCGGCGGTGGCGAGCTCATCTCCACAAACTTTAACAAAACATTTAACTTGTTAGTTAAGGAAACAAAAATACAGTTAAGTACAGTGGGAATGATATAATCTCCCGCAGTAAAAAATAGCCTATATCATTCTACAGCTCTCCAACTATCTCTACACAAAAAAAAACACGCCAAACCATTGCTCTGCTTCTACGTGAAAGAAGGACAAAAAAACAAACACACTTCAACATTTATAATATTATATAAGTAATATAAATAAATATATTGGGGCATTATAACACAGCGCCATCTAGTTCCATGGTAAGCTACGAGGCCTGTGTAAATTTAAGTACATACATACTCGTATTATAAATATTAACACCCATGACTGAAGTACAAACATTCGTGCTCATCACACAAATAAATGCCTCCAGCGAGACTCGATCCCGCGACCGCTGGCACAACCAAATGTCCCGTACAGTTCGGTTTCAGAGGAATTTTCTCCCACGGACCATCTCGCTGTGGAATGAACTCCCTGCCGAGGTTTTCCCAGAGGGCTACAGTATGGGGTCCTTCAAAAGGGGAGTAAATAGGTTCTTAAAGGGTCGGCAACGCGCATGTGATGCCCCAGGTGTTGCAAGCATCCATAGGCTGCGGTAACCGCTTACCATCAGGCGGGCCGCATGCCTGATTGCCACCGACGTGGTATAAAAAAAAACAGCCAGCACTACAAACTGAGCCAAATGTATTGTCAAATATAAGTACAGATGTTAAATTGAACATATATAATTTCAAAATTGCTACCTCATATTAAGTTCCTAAGGTTATTTACACCGTAACGAACCACAAATAACTGTTTGTTCGCACCTGCAAAATCACTAAAACAAAAACAGGGACTTTCACTGTGACAAGACTAATTTTTGTTTGCTGTAATACGCGAGCGAAGCCGCGCGCGACTACTAGTTATAATAACGGACTGGTCAAAATAATAAGTCGCAGTCGAATTCAGCTTTAAAACAAATGTAAGTCACGACTATAGTGTACCTACTCATATAGAAAAATACAATCCTCGTAAACGACATTGAGACATGACCATATAGAAGACTTAAAAATAACTTCCTGTAGCACACACCATAGGTTCATGAAGAAGCCGGTTGTTTCCACTTCCGGTCCGATTGTTCCTTAAATGGTAACATTTATTTATTTAAAAACAATGAACACAAAAAAATCTTATTAACTTTATAAAATAAATAAATAAATATCAAAGCATGATGAATAATTCAGTTAATTTCTTTTTATCAAAATTATACAAATAGGTTCAGGCAGGACTCGAAAAATTTTTAAACCGGTTTTTCTAATTGGCACCAAACCGAAAGCACGGTAATGTTATATACTCGTATTATAACATTACCGTGCCGAGAGGCTTTTCGGTTTAAAGTTTTCGGTTATGTTCTTTAACCGATTAAATAGCGAATTTAGGTTCCATGATCGAAATTAACCGGTTAAAATTAAATTAAAAAATTTAAAAACCCCCGAACATCTTGGACCGATTTTCTTCAAACATAGCTAAGAACACTTCCGACTAATTCACCTTTAAAACAAAAAAAAAAAACAAAATTTAAAATCGGTTCATCCGTTTGGGAGAGGAGGGATTTTTTTGCGTCGAGGGTTAAAAATGAGTTTTTGTGCGTTTTCATTTGGCGAATCTTGGCTAATGGTGAATTACTTAGTAGAAGGATATACGTTTCTTACTTATGAATGAACTAACCGGTTTAATTCGGTATCAATACCGAAGCCCAACCTGTCTCTAAGAATAACCGTTAACCATTATTACTTCGGTTTACTAAGCCATTCGTTTTCATTAACCGGTAAAAGAACGAACAATGAATTAACCATTACATTACCGAAATAAAACGTTCTTTTTTAAACCGGTTCCGAGCTCTGATATTAGGTATTGTTAACAGGAAAATTATTACGAAAACTTCTTAACAGTATGGGAACTTTTCAAATCTTAAACTGAGTGATAAAAAGCACGCGAGCCGTATTCGCACTTGCCTATTCTTCATACTAATATTTAATTTAATAAAAATACTTAAGTAAATACGATAAATAATGCAACATGTGCACACTGCACAGTACTACATATATTATAATTTACAAGTATGGATTCCTTCGAGGGACACAAGCGTCAGAGCGTCTAGTGATCTACGTCATATGCAAGGCGGGAGCATTGTGTGGCGAAGTTTTTATAAAGGAACAAATAAGTTGTATCGCGTTGTTTGCTTCATTTACGAGTCGATGAAAAAAAAATAAAGAGATAATACACTTCACTTTAATCGAATGCGTGGATTGATATACATACTTATAATAAAGAATTTATTTAATGTATAAGACATAAGTACGTCTGTATTTATTTATGTACATATATGTATTTTATAAATTTAAATTACCTATCTAAGGCGGTTGTAAAGTTTCTATTGAACCTCATATCGCAGGTTCGATGCTGTGTATCGAAAAAAAAATATCTTAATCAATTTTTTCAAAGTCCCGACATCTGTATAAATATCGTAAATGTAAAAAAAAAAGTCTGGATGTTTTGTTACTCTTTCACGCCAGAACGACTGAACGGATCTGGATGAAATTTGGAACAGAGATAGATTATAGTCTGGAATAACACATAGGCCACTTTTTATCTCGTAAAAATGTACGGTTCCCGTGGGATAGGTTTATTTTACAATTAACAAAAAATCGGCATGTCAGTGTGTTTTGTCTGCTCGAAAGTTTACCTACATATTTTTATTTTACGTAACAAACATTTTATCTGTAGCTTGTACCATGTCACATTTGCACATCCATACAGGTTCCGTATTTAAACTTACACAAGGACGGGCAAAAGATTAATTGATGTCACTTCCTACAAGGCACAAAAGTAATTAATTAGTTGAAAAATATGTAGGAAATTGGCGGACGACTAAATTACTTATTAATAAATTGCAGCAACACACGTTTTTTATAAATAAATAAAAAAAACAAGTTTATTCAGCTTTTGTAAAAACATACTTGAAAATTAAAAGCTCTTCAAGTGCGAGTTAGACTCTCCTAGACTCCTCTAGGCTCTTGGTTAGACTCGCCTAGAGGAGTGTTCTGTACATTTTGCGAATTGAAACACTTACCTACTATATTTAAAAAAAAACTGAATACCGAATTTAGTTACATATTTTTTTTTGTAAAACATGAATTTATATTTTAAAATGTGTTTATAATTTAGATAAATTGTCATAAAAAATGTCAGGAAAACGGAAACAGTTTTAATATAATCTGCTTGATAAGCGACGTACCTAATTGGATCTAAAGTAATACAATTACAAGTTAGATACTGTATAGATAGTGAAATCAACCATTTCAAATTAATTTAAAAAATTATTATACGAAAATCAGTTTCATTAAAAACTATCTCACAGGCAAGTTTAAGTGCTACATTGATTGGTACTCAATTTTTTTCAGTTTTTATAAAAAAATTAAAACTTGGAAACTTCGTTTGTCTAACTACCTAACATAACTAACATATAATAAAATTCTAAATCCGTATTCTAAATCCGTATATTAAATATTTTTTGGAAAATCTTATTGAAATAGTTATTATTATCGATACAGAGGCCGAATCTATATAGTTTTTAGAATTAATGTCTGTTTACTTTGAACTGCGGGAAAATATCTCATCTCTGAGAAATATATAAGTACTAAAAGTCAAAACGCAACGGAACGAACCCGAGCGGATCGAGGGTGAGTCGCTAGTACTCTATAAGAGTTCAACCTCGTCAAGGTATTTAAGACCTCCTCAAAGTATTTATATCTACAACTAGCGGCTCACCCTCGCTTCGCTCGAGTCCGCCTCTGGGCAGACTAAAACAAACCTATACCATGGTAACCGTACATTTTTTCCGAATAAAAATAGCCTGTGTATATATATATAATCTATCTCTGTGCCAAATTTCATCCAGATCCGTTCAGCCGTTCTGGCGTGAAAGAGTAACAAACATACAACCATATATCGATACTCACAAACTTTCACATTTATAATATTAATATAGATTTGGCTTGATCGTCTACAATAAATACCAAATAGGAAATGGCTATTAATCCAGTTACTGTACGACTTATATTTAATTATTTGTCCAGCTACTTTATTTTGTTTTCTTTTTATTAAAAAAATTAGAGCATCTGAATAAAATATTATTCATTTATAAGTTTTAATTTTCGACTATGTTACAGGCCCGACTTGGATAACGTAGGTTAAAGGCTAAGGCGGAAGCAAAGCGTAGCGACTAGCGTATCTCCCGCCTTAGCATTCTCATTAAGTTTTTTATTTTTTTTTAAGCCCAGTACCCCCAATATCATAATTGCTTTATGTTATTTAAAATTTGGTGACAGTTTCGATTTGAAAATTATAGGTGTACGGCAGTATCAGAAGAATTGGAAGATTCAAATGTACGTACATATAAGTTTGACAAAACGCTTCAATTTTTGAAATAATGTGAACAAGATAAATATATATATTTTGTGTTTGTTTTCTCTTATCCTCATCTATTCATATAATAAAATTGTAACTAAGCCGAATCTGTACATTAAATATTTTTTGGAAAATCTTATTGAAATAGAAATTATTATCGATACAGAGGCCGAATCTAGTTTTCAAAAAAATTGTCTGTCTGTCTGTTACCGCATCACGGAAAAACTACTGGAGGGATTTTGATGAAATTTGGTATGGTGATAGCTGGTTATCCGGGTCAACATATAGGATACTTTTTACCGCGGGAAAATATCTCATTTCTGAAAAAAATACAAAAACTGCATTGTAAGAGTTTACTAATATGTAAAACCTAAGAAATTGGTTTTTGGTCATCTGAACGCGGGCGGAGCCGCGGGCAATGCTAGTTGTTAAGTAAAAATATACCTAAAAAAATTTTTTTTTTAATAATCAATACTAACTAATTAAAATTATATTAGTCCTACAGTAACTGTATTAATAAAAACAAATTATTTGTACAGTTGCTGTATAACTAGGGTCAGTCTACCAAATAAGAAATCTTGGCAGTATTCCTTACCAGTATACCTTATACATAAAGTTTGTTTATAATAACCAACTAGATGTGATTGTCAATATGTAAACGTTCCTACCCCAAACCATTGATGATCACTGTGAAAACAGACGGTTTTTATGGTGGTGATTGGTCGAATCACTTCATACTCCGTGTTCACCGTCCGGGGCTCGTAGAGCACTTTCACACTTATCTGTGAACAGAACTCTAGTCCGTTGTTTGTGAGTCTAGTTAGGGTGCTCGCGCCTGAACTGCTACGAAGTTTATTTGGGATTTGAACTGGGTGTTGTTCTCTGTGAAGCTGCGAGCGATGTGCCATTCGTCACGTTATATGTTTGTAATTTCACTGTGACTTTTAAGTCTCCTGCAGTTTGTACCCACTGACAGACATCAATCAACCCAGTGTTGTCCAGTAGCAATTTTTTATAGTTTTTAGCAATAACACTTGCACTATTTAGCCTGCAGATGAATAATAGAAACCAAAATCGTTACTTTAAACAGCAGTAAATAGCATGCAAAAAGTTAAATAATGCTGTTGAATGTTTTCGATATTTTGACTTTTTTACTATATTATTCAATACTGGCTTAAGCTAATTTGCTACCAGCAGACATTACCGAAATAAATTCTTGAATTTATTATAAATAACTTCATGCATTACCAAGACTCATTATCTTATTCTGTTATGATATAAGCCTGGATGAAAATTTTCTTTCATGCTGTTTAGTGTTTACATACATATATAACACATACATTTACTAGTAATTGTACATACTAATTATAACAATAATCCAACCCTTTTTAACATCCCTTCACTAGGCATAGGCCTTCCCCTCTCAACGACAGATCAGGCCATGTTCTATGATACTGGTGAAATGCAGATCAATGGACTTCACAGATCTTTCAAGAATTAGTTACACTAAATCCATGATCTTAGCCAGCCTCGACAACCAATCACAATTTCAAACATGTGAATAGGGCTATTTGGCTTGGCTTGTGTACATAATCAACATTTGCACATTTGTAAAGATTTGAAGTTTGTGGCAAATGGCAAGAGTGTGGGCTCGGCATTACGTTATTTCGGCATGTAGTTTTGCTCATTTTTTCTTCACTGTATTAGCTTTCCTTTTTCTAGAATCAGTAAAAATTATGTTGAGAATGAATCACCTATAAACACCTCTGTGGCTGCAGGTCCTGTAGAATGAGCTACAACATTATACAATCCTAAAAAAACAAAGCTAATATAACTTTAATAAAAAGTCTCAAATATGTAATAAACATTTATGTAGTACAATTTTATTACTTAGGTTAGTTATTAGTTATTATACATCTCATTAATATTTAATTAGATTATGCATTTACATTATACAAATTTTTGGCCCATTACATACAAGAAAGTTAATGAAATAATTATTGTTACTAATTATCATTGTAAAATAACTTACAAAACCATATTAAAATATCTGAAATATTATAATTTTCTAGGATACTAGTTGTTTCCCTTAAATGTAAAGTACATTATGTGGGTAATGTGGATCATTAAACCTATTGTAAAAAGTTATTTGAGTTACTACTACATTAGAAATATTAGCATTAGCTTTACAATCAAAACAAGTGGGCCAACTACATATGCTCATATATTCAACTGGCATTATTTTGAATGTAGGTGACTTCACTACAAGTCTTAACACCAGAATATCTTATATTTTTACTTACATAAACACTTTTCAATTTTTTTTATATAACTTAAACATAATTATTTAATAAACTTACCTTAATATTTTATGGATCTATTGTAATTTATACTTTTAGAATAATCTTTATTAGTACTTTTTTATTACAAAATTAACTTTAAATAATAGTTCAAAATAACTACATAAAGATATATATATATATATATATATATATATATATATATATATATATATTAGTAGTATTTATTGCAAAAAAACAACATTAATAAATACAATTATATAATATAATATAAAAATAATAGCACAGCTGAGCAATATTATAAATAATATTTAATTTATGTAGTTAAGTATTATTTTGATTATGATACTTCAAATTCAGTTTTAAGTGAAAAGTTCCTTTTTTGTTAAGTTTATTGTTTGATTTAATCATTTGATACATTATGTATTTCCAGATTTACGTAATTTTGTAAACAAACCGTAATCATTATTGTTAGACCATAACACAATTTTAATTGGCGTAAAAAAATATTACGAATTAATAGTAGTAAATTTGAATGTTTATGCCCATTATTATGAAACAACTTATTACAGTTCCAATTAAAATTAGATTGCACATATATTTTCGAATAGGGATATCTTTTTGTTAGGTTGCCGTAACTATTGTGTTAAACATATTTATATTTTAAGATATTTCAAAACATAAATTACGACAAATGGTAGGAACGAATTGCGACGGAGTAAAACAAACGCAACAAAAGAAAATCTCGCCCTCACCTCCGATCGAAATTGTTAAATCATCCAACTAGATTTCTTTGTTCTGCACCAACTTTTCGGCAAGCAGTGTAATAATTTCTTGATTTAACACTAAACGCTTTCGATATCATCAGTTTTAAAAACCAAGAACCACACAAATTTTCACATCTGCTAGATTTCTCTATCATTGGCACAAATCCACTGAAATTTTGACATTTCATCACAGCGTGAAATTAACAAATTTATCGTGCGGAAATATCTTGCTGTAATTATCGGTAGTTATATAACTCAATCCTGAATACAATTTCCTGACTTAATTAAAGTCTATTGAATTAAAAATATTTATATTTAAATAATCTAATTTAAAAGGCAGTTTAAAAAAAAATCTAAAAATAGTCTGTATAAATTTCAAGCGTGTTTCAACTTTTCAATATAATCTGTAATTTGTAAATAGTTTAGTGTTGCTAAGTAAAAAAAGAAAATCGTAGATGTATACATTAAAAAGAATCAACTGCTGTTAATTGTTAAATTGGTTTACTTCATCGACTGCATAAAGTATATTGATACATATATAAAATCGACTGTTAACTTCCATATCATTCATAGAGTATATTGCTAATATCATTAAAGGTTCTAGTTGAATTTCCTGATCTGTAGTCTGGATGAATATAAATTTATTTTAAGACTAGCATTATCTCTTCTCCCGCGTTCAAACTTCCGATATAAACATCAGTTTGTTTGGAAATCTGCCCGATTTGATGACCTTTATAAGTAATTACTGCTCCGCACCCTTGAGTAGTAGTAGGATGATATAAAGCCTTCCTCAATAAACGGGCTGTCTAATGCAAAAAGATATTTTAATCGGATTAGTAGTTCCTGACAATAGCGCATTCAAACAGTCTCTTTATAATATTAAGACTATAGTTCATAAATGACTTTGTTTTGATTTTAGATAATTATGTTCATTAACTATCTCAAATCAAAATAAAGTCATTATCATTTTATGATAACTTTATTTTGATTTAAGATAATTTAGTTTATTAATTATCTCAAATCAAAAAAAGTCATTATCATCTCAAATCAAGATTTGAGATAAGTAAGATAATTAAGTTAATTTTTGTCCATTTTTGAAATATTTAATTTGAATTGAATTTTTACTCCCACTTTGTATGTATACACCTTTACCTGCCGTTGCACTTGATGACTCACTATTTTAACTAACGTGAATGGACAATAGATATTAGATAGTGGTAGGTGCATAGAGAACTATTACCATGGATGAATAATAAACCAAGTATTACTATGGCAGGTTCTAAGCTAGGATTTATCCAGTTTTATTTTCTAAGCTTCCATTTTCAATGTCTTTATATCTAGATCGTTCTCTCTAATATATATTTGAACAAAAAAAAGCGATATAGTTTTATTGTCACTTACAATTTTCAAAAATATTTCATTTAAACAGGTAATTTATACAGATATAAAATATTTTTGTTATCATAAAAAAATACAATTACCTATTGCATATATTATGTACACATTATATTATCTAGCTGCTAACAATTATTGTATTCTAGTATATACACGTGTTATACAATAATGTGTGATATTATAAAATGAAAAATATGAAACAAAAATGGAATAAGACACAAAAATTTTTTTTTACTAATTAAACATCTATTCTTATATGTATATAAATAACAAACTTTTTATAATATGGCAATATCTTCATAGAAATTATTAGTTTTGAGTTGAAAATCCTAAAGGAGGAAATTTTTCTAATATATTCATCATTGCAGAAGGATAAAAGGCCATGAATTTAAATCTTTCTCCCATATGTTTTGGATCTACTAACATTTCATATGCTGCTTTAATTTTTTCTTTATCTTCTTCAGTTTTTGCATTGTCCATTAAAACCTAAAAAAAAAAACAATTATTGCCATATAAAATAAAATTTATATGCAAAATTAATAGTAAAATATGTATAATATTACATTTTTTAAATTACAATTAAATAAACACTTAAAGACAAAATTTGTGATAAAAATTTTCCTCTTTGTGTTTATATTCAAAAAGGTACCTACCTGAACTCGAACATTAGCTTGAAGGCGTTCCAAAAATTCCATTTGTTTGACTGGTCCCAGAACTATTGCATAATTTTCTTCTCCAGGAGTCATTGATGCTGATATTCTAAGTTGACTGAAATCAACATCTGCTGTTAAGTCAGACACACCAGGATTTTCCAGAGGATCAACTAGTTTATGTTTGTGAAAAGCCTGCAAAATTATAATGATATTTTTTTCATAAAATCATATATTCATATTATTTATTAACAAATTACATAGATAATTTTCAATACATTACCCTAAAAGTGTCCCCTTTCTCTCCATTATGTCCGTAATCTGCTATTAAAGCCAAACCTCCATATTGGTCTACTCTATTAGCAAGCTGTTTCGCAATACCAAGACCTCTAGGACTTATTTCAAGTTCCATTCTATCACCTGCATCTAATGGAGGTCTTACCAAAACTTTAACCGATTGTGTTTCATTAGCTGATATTCTATATTGCAATTTATTATTTTCATCTAAATCTATTAAGATTTCTCGCCAACCTTTTTCTGTTTTCTGTGAAACGAATCCTTTTCTTTAAATAATTAGGTATAATGAAGTACATGTTATTATGTAAACATTAAGGAAGATCTCATTGGACACTGGCAATAAATTTATGTAGCTTAAAAATAGTTTTTTATATTCCTACCTTAAAAAAAGACAAACTTCCATAAAAATTATCAATGTTTAAAGTATATTATTCCCTCCACAACCGCAGAAACACCAAAATATATTGATAGTTTATTTTAAGACAAAATATAGATTCACATTATGTCATTTATGAGATTAGTGATTAAAGTACTTACTTCAAATTTATGAATGGGCAAAACATCAAAAAACTCATGGGCAATATACCAAGAAAAATTACTGGGAACTTTCTTTAGATCATTGTACCAATAGACTTTTATACCACTGACAGTTTCTCCCTGTGGAAAATTATACGAACACAATGTATACATAGTTAAGTTTTATATAGAAATCTCATAATGTATCTAAAGTAAAAACCAAAATCATTCTGTATTTTGAAATGAATTACTTACTTCATGATTATGGGGCATATCTATATCAGTCTCCCTGTGAGAAACACATAATCTATTTGCCTGTAATTGTTGCATTGTTGAAGATATTTCCACAAGGTGAAGACTAAGATCATTTGCTCTGTAACCATATCTGTTCAATACCTAAAACATTAAAAAGTAGATAGTATTTCTAAATTAAAAGATAAATAATATTCTAAATTAAAAATAGTTAAGTACTTTATAATTCAAAATATAAATTTCGTACTCTTAGAAAATCTATTAACAAGGTAGCTTTTCCTGGTCCTAGCTCCACAATTTGTAAAGGCTTGCCAGGACCCATCTTCTGCGTCTCTGCATAAAACCAGATAGCCAAAATCTCACCAAATAGTTGATTAATTTCAGGTGATGTTATAAAATCACCCGTCTCACCTATAACATCTTTTTTCATATAATATCCTTCTGTAGGATTAGTTATAACTATATTCATATATTCGGCAACACTAAGAGGTCCATTTAATCGGACTTTTTCTTTAATTATATCCATTATACTTGGAGCATCGGCTAGGTTAGGCATTTTTAATGTCTTTGGATCTGGTCGTTTTACGACCTTATATCCTTTATGTCTCCTACATAATATGTTACTCATTGAAACAGGTCTGCTTAGTAAACGAAATAAATTTCTTGAATTCATTTTGTCTTTTATAATTTTTATAAATGAAACTAATTTGGAGATGACTGTTCCTGGTCTATGGAGAATAAGATGATACTTAGACAATATTTATAATTACAAAATAAATACAAACGTAATCTGAAAAGTCAAATCTGACAATTAGCCAGGGTAACCATCTCAAAAATGGCGAAACCGACTCTGTTGCCAGAAAATCTGCCAAACCCAACTCCCAGTCTCCAGAAAATACATAAAATATGCCATCGTATTATTGCATCCATGGAGACGGGTATAATATGAATAAATATAATGCTACGTATTCAGAGGTATTCCTTTATTCAACCTGAAATTTTTCACAAACATTGATTTAAACTTCGATCAGTTATGTTAATAAGAATATAAACCTTTTTGCTGATTCATTGCCATTCATAATCATATAGACTATGGTGAGTCATCATTGTTAAAGATGTGTCAACTCGAGTTAACTCGAGTTGGGCTTAACTCGAAATAACTCGAGTTGAATTCTCTCTGACTCGAATTGGATTTGCGTCGTAAATGAACGAATCAAGCGAGTACGCGATTGACCTTACGCAAACGCGGCGATTCGTTCGTTGTGTTCATGTTTTGTACAGTCGTCAGCACTTCAAACTATACATTTATGTTGCAAAATTGCTCCTATTACAACCGAATAAGATGCCATAGTATTTAACTTAATCGCTGTCGTCCGTACTCCCGTCATAGCGTTTCAACCGAATGACAGCGTTATGATATCCATATTCATATTATAAATGTGAAAGTATGTTTGTTTATTTGTCCTTCTTTCACGTCGAAACGGAGCAACGGAGGACTGGGGTAATTTCTTGGGTGAAGATAGTTCATAGTTGGAGGGCTGGAGAGTGGTATAGACTACTTTTTACCGCGGAAGATTATCTCATTTCTATAGGGAAACAACCCAAAAAAATATTTATGATCAGAATTACTTGAAACTTGGTATTAACGTTCTTCAATACAATTAAATAAATATATTGAGCGACGCCGCGGGTTCTGCTAGTAATAATGTAAATAAATAAATTAAAAAATATAAATAATTATAATTCTCTTAATAAATATTTAATTAGAATCTGTACCATTTTTTTAATATTGTTGCGTAGCCGAGTCATTAAATTGGTACAAACAAAACAAATCATTCACTTCATTTTTCATCCAGTTAACTCGAGTTACGTAACTCGAAATCAACTCGAGTTACGTGAATTTCAAACCCGAGTTAACTCGAGTTATATTTTTTCCGAGTTGGCCATCACTAACCATTGGTGATTGCCGATTGGTGAACCTACATAAAAAAAGAATAAACGCCAAACGGGAAATCGTCGTACTAACTGGCATGGAAAAAAAGTTGCCCACTCAATAAATAAATACGAAATAATTCATTTATAATACAAATTAAGACCAAAAATTATAAGTATTCTATTTATATTTCAAAAATAACAAAGTTCTAAGGTCTGCCACTATTTGATTTGTCACTTTAGGGTGCCAGAGTTAAAATTTAAGTGGCAAATCTGCCCAAATGGCAGAAATTTTCGACAAATGGTCGGTGGTAAACTTTGCGACACATTTTTTTCGCGATACGAAACCGCAAGCACAGCTAGTATATAATAAATCTATAAATATTATTAGCCGAATACAAAAACACCATTAGACAATCTCTTTTCAGGAGAAAGCAGGTTTATGTTACAAAAGCTATAAAATATTAAATAATATACGATACTCGTGAGTCGTGGCTAAAGAAGACGTATCGTACTATTAATTTGTAAAAAATAAAGTAAATATAAATACATATTTATTGATAACAAAATTATTTATAAGCATTGTAGAACAATTTTTTTTAAATATATATACATTTATAAAAAAAAATTGTTTATTTCATATTTTTTAATCGATATATACCGAAATATCGATTTAGATATTATAGTTTTGTATCTGCACGATAGTTTTGTCTATACCATAGATAAATAATAAAGTAGATGATTCAGATATTTTCAGGGAATTACCAAAATGTTTTTGCTTTTGCTAGGAAAATTATAAATGGAATATCTACACTAATATTATAAAGAAGAAAGATTTGTATTTTTGTATGTTTTGTATGCTTTTATAAAATAGCTTTTATAAATTTCATAGATTCGATGTAAAAAAATATGTTATTCGATTATGTTTTGAGTTTCGGTTAAATTAAAAAATATATCACATAAAATTAAAACAAATTTAAAAACAATCTTCTAATTACCTATATGAACATGCAACTATACGAGTATGTCCCAGTAATTTGATTAACCTACAACTTTGATTTAACAATGTATTATTACCTAATTTATTATTACTTGCACCTCACCCTTAATTCGCTCGCGTTCACCTCTAGAAAAACAAAAACAAATATTCCCTCGGTGACCATATATTTTTCGGGGTAAAAAGTAGCCTATGTGTTATTCCAGACTACAATCTATCTCTGTGCCAAATTTCATCCAGATCCGTTCAGCCATTCAGGCGTGAAAGAGTAACAAATTTCCATATATATCTATTCACAAACTTTCTTATTTATAATATTAGTATAGACACAGAGTACTTATAGATTATACTTTCAATTTTATCGATATTTACATTATCTCGAAAAGCACGCCGCTTCACGCTTCTGATTGTAAGTAAACATTAGGCGTAAGTATATTTACTAATTACTCTGACAGTACTTTACCCCATAGAGCAGTAATCAGTACTCAGCATAGAGGTAGGTACTTAAATATAAATGTTCTGCTATTCAGTACCTTAGTACAGCTGAGATAGTCATCGCCCATTGGAGTGGGTGCTACAATCTTGCAGGAAGATACTTATTATGGAAATTATTTCCAATAGATACGTTTTTTAATGAAATATTTGTGTATCCTATTTATTAATGACAGTTTAATAAAGGTATGTTTCTATGTATTAAGTAATTATTAAAGAGTTATAAATAAATTACTATGATGCAATATAATCATACTGCTATCTTTGAGAGTTCGTATTTATGCATGTTTGTTCAGGTTTAAGATCATTAATTTCTCAAAAGAATATTACAATTCACTTACATGAGAAATTACATTAGCTAAAGCTTAACTTAACATTTTATTTGGTACATCGATTCACAGGCAAGACAAGTAACAAGTAGAGGGTAAAAGTGAAAAAGGTATATACAGGTTAACAGAATAAACGCAACTGCACTGGATTTAATTTAGGTATACTAAATTTTACGATATATTTTAATTTAATATTTTACTTTATGATTGATTTTACGTAGTGATAATATGTGAAATACTATTATTTATTACTACATATTTTGTGCTCAAAACGATAGGAGGGGTTTGGATAAAATTTCGTACATAGACTATGATCTGGTCCCTGGATTGGACTGTTAGGCTTCTTGGAACGCACACGAGCGAAGCGAGAGTATGTCGCTAGTATTTCGTCTTAATAACGCGAGTTGCACAGGTAATAAAGATATCAATAAAAATCATAATGCCGGATCCTAGGCGCCGATTTCTGTGTACCTATTGAAAAAAAAATTCTCCGAATCTATCGAGTTGGGTATCAAAATAAAAGTTTTTAAGAAGCGATTATAAAAATATATACAATTTTTTCGTTAAAAAATTTATTTAGGATAAGAAATTGTTAAATAAAATAAAAAACGTTGAACTGACCAAAACTAAGAAGATGTAAATAAATATAGTATTATGCAGTCGGAGACGATACATTATACATCGGGGGGCACGGCAGTGCCCCCGCCAAGTCGAGCAAACAAGTCGAGCAAAAAAGGGCACGGCAGTACCATCCTTTTCTCGAAGGGATTCAGAGCATTTTCTACCCCCCCATAACTTCGTTATGGATAAAGCTAAAATCTTGAATTTTGAGTGACTAAGTGAACATAATAAAACTAGGTACATTTCCAAATTACATTCAATTTGAACCAGTAGTTTATGAACTGTTGCAGATCAAAATTCGTTAATATCGTCACTCACTCACTCACCGATCATCAAAATTCTAAGGTACTTCTAGCAGACATAGAAGCTTCAAATTTTAAACACAATTCGTGTTTACTCTATAACCTAAGGAAAAATTCAAACATCACGCAATTTCAATCCTGTTTTCGAGATATACAACAAACTGCATCAGTAACTTTGTAATCTTATACAAATAGATATGCGATATATGGGATTACAAAGTTACTTGTGCAGTTCATACATATAATTGTCGTCACTTGCAATGTAAAAGGAGGTTAGGTTAGTGTCCTGTATGTATGTTTGTATGTTCGATTTCCCTCGTAATTACTAACCTAATCACGATTCGTCTATTTATTTATTAATATTGATATTGCAACTATTGTATACATTAGAAAAATATTATTCAAATGTGAAAATATTATTTCAAGCGTTTACATTTTTATGCATATACAAATGGGTACATAAATACAACGTGAAGCGTGTATAGTGTATTACCAACTAATATTCGATTACCTGTTATTTATAATGAATTTATTAAAATATATACCTAATTACGACAAAACTTGACGATTACTTAATTTTTGACGACACGTTTGGCTCAGTTTGTAGTGGCCCGGCCCTACTCATTCATTTGTGTGATGACTAAAGTTTGTACTCCAGTCATGGGTGTTTATATTTATAATATGTATATATTTAAAGTTATATATGTGTAGTGTATTAACTATCTAGTATCCATAACACAAGCCTCGTAGCTTACCATGGAACTAGATGGTTCTGTGTGTTACTGTCCCAACATATTTTGAAACAAAGCTCGTATATTTTCTTTTATAAAGTATGATGTTGATTTGAATTAGAAAACTTGTTAACATTTCATTGCTCGTAACTGTACACACCTAATAGAACATGGAATATAGAGGTCATGAAATAGCCAATGGAATCAGTGAATAAAGTGAGTTGGCAACCTCACTTTTCTATTAAACTGCATCAAAATTACTGAACAAGCAATAATAATTAAGTATAACAACCTTCGGGATTTACCTACGATGCCGCAGATAGACACATAAATCTACACGTTTTATTAAACTTACGTAAGTTCAATATCAGTATCGGGGTAGGTATTCAGGGTCAACAATGAAATTAAAATATTCATTAAATTAACTATACATATTTATACTTAATGCATAAGATAGTAGTAATGAAGCCCAGGAATCCGCAATTTCCGAATACAATAGACTTAGATTTTTTATCATCCAGACTTGTCAAAATTTGTTATATCAAAGCCTCTGAAAAACAGAGACAGGGAGTGGGCTTTTAAGAAGTCCTTAGCTGACACACAAGAAATAGTACAAGAAAAGGGAAAAAGAAGAAATATTTACAAAAAGAAATGAGATCCCATCAAAAACATACTGTAAAAATATTGCAAGTCTCGCAACGCATCTCTCTTATTAACGTTCTGAGTGCATTATTTATGTATTGTTAGTGTATGCATCAATTTGACCCGCTAGTACTATGTTCCGTTCATTTCAGCCCAAACACGTCCACAGCTGGGCATAGGCCTCCCCCAAAAATTTCCACGACAACCAGTCTTGTGCCATCCGCATCCAGTGGGCTCCAGCGACTTTGACCAAGTCGTCCGTCCACCTTGGTCATGGTATTTTTAATTAGGACTACTTTATAGACTCTTATGTGATTATGTTTCCGTGCGATGGCCAAGTCACTCTATTAATATTTATGACAAAGTTGTCGGATAGATGCTTCCATAGATAGGTAATGAATAAATTAACCGACTTGGTTTTACATTATATCTCATAGCTTTTTGCGGTAGAGAGATGCGTTGCGAGACTTGCAATATTTTTACAGTATGTTTTTGATGGGATTCATATTACGTATAGTGTATACGTAGCAAGACTCGCAGCAAATATAAAACATGTACATATGTATGTCTCCGACTGCATAATACTATTTTTTCGTCAACTTTTTTCCGTTTTTTTATTTGGCTTTTTACGCAGACGGGTTTTTTATTTTTGTAAATTAATTTTTCTTTTTTTACTTACATATCTACATTACATATTTAACGTTGAAGTTATGGATATAAATAGGTATTTGTTTATGTCTAATTTACAAGCACTTAATCTTTATTCTTTAATTAACAGCAATCATAATTAGCTCGCTAATAGATAAAATGATTTCTGTTTTGTCATTCATTTCCAGGCGCCAAAATGAGGATAAAAGGATTTTTCTTATTGGTCAAAAAACATTTAGAATCATATCAACTGGAAAACACTGAAGTTGTAGTAGATGGTCAAAATATATATTATCAATTGTACGAGAAATCAGGACTTCCCTTTGTTTTGGGATCTGAATGCGATAAATTTGCTAATTATGTTAGAGATTATTTAAGCGTATTTAAAGAATCTAATCTTAAATGTCATTTCATAGTTAAAGGTGGCCATGGCAGTGAAAAACACCTTAATAATCACTTTAAGTTGATGAATAGACTACATGGAAAACAATATGTTTTAGGTGAAAATTATGGCAACGCGATCATCCAGCCCTGTCTGGCAAAGGATGTTTATTTGCAGGTTTTAGAAGAAATGGGGTTTGACTACACAATTTCTCATGCGACTGATGTCATTAAAGATTGTTTTGACTTAGCCCAAAGACTATCCTGTCCTGTAATAAGTTTTAATATACAATATTGTTTTAGTTCAGCGCCATACGTGCCACTTAAACAAGGTACTGCGTTGAAATTTGAGCAAGGCATATTTAAACGACAAAATTTTTTACAACATTACAGGATTTCAAAAGAAAAGATGATACTGTTCATATTGTTAACAGATTCCCATATATTTAAGGAAGATTATTTCCTTCACTTTTTCAAAGCACGTAAAATACCATATGCATATGTAGGACGGTATAAAGGTTTACTCATGTGGTTGTCGTATAGAAGTGAAGCAGCAGCTTTACAGGAAGTTTTTAAATACATTTCAGAATCAGACAGAAAAACATTTCTGGATAATAAAAATGAATTAGAAATAAAATTTCTGAAATGTACAAATGAAGAAAGTTTAACTTTATTGTATTTCACAAACAGAAATAGTTTAAAGTTCGATATTCAAGATCCGCATTGGTTTGAGAAAGGTATTGCTTTAAAGTATATTGCTATACCTTACGTAAACTTATACTTCTGGGGCCTTATTGTTGCTTCTCGTTTAGTTGAAGATTACGATCAGGAAAACTCCATTTTGCTTTCAAAAGATGTCATAAAATATGCTTATGATTTGCTTCATAATTTTAATGGTAAAAACATTTACATTAAATACAGAGAGGATAATGAGAGCGAAGAATTATCAGTCATTTATACTCAATCTGTGCGCAAACCAGATTACGTTGCTCAGAGAAGTGTTTTCGAAAACGGTTGGGAAAATATCGACTCGCGTGGGCTTTTTGAACATTTCTTCTTAGAAACTTATCGATCATTTAATTTTGCCGCTTTAGAATCGGCTCCGGTGGATGTGAGGTTGTTGTTGATTACATTGGTTTACTTCAAACGAAATAAAGAAGATGATGTGAGTTGTGAAATTTACAGTATAATACTATCTTATATCCTACTTGGGGTCGTCTCTGAGAAATTGAGTCGTAAGCTTAGTGATTCCTCAGATAACATCGACATTATCAGCCGTCCGCTCTTAGTCTCAACCACTCGGAAAGATCTAGTGATCACCCAGGACTGTATAGCTGCTAAGAGGACCCTTGAGAAATATTGCAGCGTTAGCAATGATGAATTAATTGATATATTTAATCGGACAAAAATACACCCTCTGTTTCAATTTAAATGGTGCTTGCTAGAAATAAACAATTTGAATAGACTATGTGGCTCTCCGTACACTTCCACCGTATACAGTAAAACTTATAATGGCACATTTGTGTACAAGATTCTTTGTAAAATAAAAGGGGAAAACGCCATGCAAACAATCACAGACTTGCTCAGTCCTGCCCCGAGTGTGCTGGCGTTCACGTTAGGAATTATTGAAATGTATGAAAAGTTACTTTACGAATATTAATTTTCGTCATTTAATATTTAAAAGTACAGTTTTAATTCTATATTACATACTAGCTTATAATCGCTGTTTCACGTGCTTGCGTTTTTTGTCTGTGCTTTATAATCTTCTCATAATTTATATTTTACTTTTATAATTTATTACTTTACTTTTTATTCAATTTGTAACATGATCGTTGTTTTTTTTCAATAATAACATTTCTAATTTATTTGATTGACATTTGTACTATTAAACTAATATATACTAATCTACTTTATTAAAATCTATTAAAAATATTATTATTAATTTTAATTTCTGACCCACGCCCGAGAGTAAGTAATAGTAAGAGTGAATACTTTATTATGTTATATTTTTAAAAAAAGCATTCAAGATATTTATAATAAAAAACCTATATACATATATATTATAATGAAATAGTAAAATTAAATTAGGAAGGGAATATGTGATTTGTTATAAATTACTAGGAAATTTTTCTATTGTTAATAAAATTACTGAATTATAACATTAAAAATAAGGTTAATTATTACTTCAAAAAAACCTTCTACAAAGGTAAGTAAGAATGAAAATAATAAAACGAGCTTTGCAGGCGTTTGAAGTTAAAGGTGAGAACTCGGAACTTTTACTTGTCATCCATGCTCAGAACTGAAGGTCCTGTCAATGTCATATTTTTATCTCGCAGTCAACAGCAGACCTAAAGCACGGTAATGTAATGCATACTGTATTCTAACTCGGGCCTGTCCTTGAAATAATTACCTACAGGCTAGCGGCTCGTACCCACGCGACAGGGCTGCTATAAATTTGAGATTTAAAAATATTTGCGCCTCGACTGGGACGTACGAAAAGCTTTATTGTTAAATTTAATAGTACCTATAAAGAATCCGCATTCGGATAAAAAGTTTAATTAAAAATACTTTAATTTTTATTTTTAATTTAATTAATTTTTATTTTTAAAACATACGATGTCTCGATACTTTTTTGTTTGATATTAGCGAAGTTACGGTAGGAATAAAGTGTTTATTTTTGTATCAAATTATAAAAGTTACATAACATAAACACCTTATACAATTTTCGTATTCAATTATACGATGTGGCAGCCCCGCACGGTTGTCTACCGAGTGTATACCGAACGCGACGCATGTAGGTATAACTCGATTTCCGATGATTTGTATGAAGATGGAATACTGTATGTAATATTATCGTGCCTAAAGTCCACTCCGTCTCACGAAAGAAGTCCCACGCCACTAGTCGTTGACATGATACGTCAGTTGACAGTTCAGTTGTCAATTATCCCTTGTCAAAATCAAATTGATTTTTAAAAACAATGTGCAACCAGCGTGCGCAATAAAATATTTAAAATTTTTGAAATAGTCATAAATATTATAATAATTAACGATTAAAAGTAATGAAATAATATATGACTTTGTACTTTTAATTGTAATGATTTCTTAGCTTTTTCCAATAGTAGCACTATTTGTGTTAGTGAATTTTTGTATTGTTGTAAAAATTAAAAGTGGTCAAATATGACTGAAGACGATAACAATATCATGGATTCGGAGGGTAATACAAAATATAAAGACGGTGTAAATCGCAATGCCAGGTTAATTGTCAGGAATGTATCGTTTAAAGCCACGGAAGATAATCTTAAAGAATATTTTTCTCAATATGGTAATGTTGAAGAGGTTAAATTACTAAAGAAACCCGATGGAAGGCTTGTTGGATGTGCATTTATACATTATACACACGTTCCTATGGCCAACAAAGCCTTGGCTGCAACAAACAAGAAACCATTTTTAGGTAAGATGTTATAAATTAATAACTTGCTATAAACAGTTTTATTTGTATTTTATTCATATACATTTAATTTTTTAGGTCGTCCTATATATGTTGCTTGGGCTGTCCCACAAAATAAGTACAGTGAAAATGTGCAAGGTAATGGACAAAAGAAAAAATTTGATAGTACTTATGATGATACTAAAAAAGAAGTTAAAGGTAATTTTATATATTAAATCTTGCTTTTTAGCAGTAATTTAACTTTTGTTTAAAGTTCACTGTGTAATCTGCATTATACTTTTCAGATGAAGAAACAGAAAATAAATTATCTAAAGATGACAAGGATAAAATAAGAATAAACCGTAAAGCCCGTCTAATAGTTCGTAATATTTCTTTCAAAGCAACAGAGGAGTCTCTAAAAGAACACTTTGACCCTTATGGCATTGTGCAAGAAGTAAAATTGTTAAAGAAACCGGATGGAAAGTTAGTTGGTTGTGCTTTTGTGCACTTCAAAAATGTGCCAATGGCTACTCAAGCAATATTAAATACAAATTTGAAGCCATTCTTAGGTAAGAATACAACAAAATGCTTCTAAGCATATTATAGTAGTTTTCAATATGGTAAACCCAGTATTAAATTAACTTTATTGGCTCTTTTAAGGGTTTTTGTATAAGATTATAGTCTATTAGTCTGATTAATAAATTAAAATTAATAATATGTCAGTAAATTGATCTTAACTTATTTTAAATGAATATGACAGCAGAATAATATTGTTTTGCACACAATATTTACAATTATTATTATTTTAGAGGTGGAATTAAGATTGTTATTTGTTTACTTTTTATAAAATAAATCATAATTTAAGATCATTAAGTGCAGTGATTATCCTACTATATTGATAGAGAGTAAATCTTTACTAATACCTAGGTAGACCAATATCAGTAGATTGGGCAGTAGCTAAAGATCAATATATGCGACATGTTGTCAATAAGCAAACTGAAATGCAGGATGCAGTCAAGAAAGAAGATTCTAGTGATGATGAATATGATAATCCTATGAATATTTCTAATGAAAGTTTGAAGCAGGAAATAAAAAGTAAGTTGTTTAGAATATTATATTAATAGAATAGAATAGGAATACAATATGATATACTTTGAACAAAATCTATACTCGAGGAGAGCCTGAATGTGTTGTTTTATTTTTTTCTTACTATTAAACATTTAATGTAACATATCTTGCCTGTTTTGTCTGTAAATAATTTATACGTGACCAAAGTGACCAAAGTTTTTTGAAAATATTGAAATGTGTTCTACTAATGTGTTGAAGAGAAATAATAATAATTTTCAAGTAAATCTAGTCAGAATTATCCAATTGACATGTTTTACACCTGTATTAGGTACAAAATAAAAAGAAACTAAAAAGCAAAGAGAGTCCTCAAAACGAATTTACTAATAAGAATTATGCTTGATAGTTATAAGTTTTAATAATGTCTCGGGGACTTTTGATTTGTTATGTATACTAATATTATAAAGAGGAAAGATTTATTTGTTTGTTTGTACTGAATAAGCTTAAAAACTATTGGACTGATTTAGATGAAATTTGGTAAGAAAATAGTTTGAGACCCTGGTAAGGACATAGCATAGAATCTAACAGAAATTTTTATCCCGAAAATAATCCCTTAATTGGAATAATCCCTTGTATATGGGGATAAAAGTTTGCTTTTTTTATAAATTACAAATATTTAGGTGAATCAGATGAAAGTTCTGATGATGATGAGAAAGATGATGGTGTAGATGAGGAAGAGAATGATGACGATGATGAAGATAATGATGATGACGAGGATGACGACGACGATGATGGTGATGATGATAATGAGGATGGAGATGATGAGGATGGAGATGATGAGGATGGAGATGATGACAAAAGTGTTACAAGCTCACAACCTAATTTTCAACGGTAAGCAATTTTATTTATTAATTATTGTCATATATGTTTTGAAGTGAAATTATATTTTGGTATTTTATTCTCTAAAGGTAAAGGCAATCATACTGTGACTCCTAAATTACCAAATACATATTTGTATAAACCTAGTATCTAAAATATAAATATTTATACAAAAAATCTACAAAATGTCTGAACCAATTACCTATATTGAAAAAAAAAATGTATATATATATATATATATATCTATTTATTTAAAAAAATGGGATGTGATTCTTTTGTATGGAGGTTTAAAAATTCTTGAATTACCTGTTATTCAAACTATAGAGCGTTATCTGTGCGAATTCTGCTCTGATAAATTTTAAAAGGCCTTTGTACCTTATCCGCACATATTCTAATTAATTAAATTTATAAATAAATGCAAAAAAAGTCCCTAAAGGATGCACTAGTTGCATGCATTTCATCGTTTTTATTGTTGTTCCAGAACAAAACTAAATGATGCAGAAGATGGATGTACAGTGTTCCTAACTAATGTACCTTTTAGCATAGACAATGATCAGTTGAAAGCCTTTGCAGAGAAAACAGGCCCCGTGAAATATGCCCTAGTGTGTGTGGATAAACTCACAGAACATTCTAAAGGCTCTGGATTTATTAAATTTGTGGTAAGTAACTCATATAAAATTTATAAAGTCATCTCTATCTATACTAATATTATAGAGGTAAAGTTTGTGAGTTTGTAACGTTGTAGGGGGTAATCTCTGGATCTACTGAACCGATTTAGATGAAATTTACTAAGAAGATAGTTTGAGACCCTGTTAAGGACATAGGATACTTTTTATACCGGAAATCATCCCTTAAAGGGGTAAAAATGAAAGTTTGTATTTCGAAGCGCGAAGAAAACCACTGGAGGGATCTTTGATAGCTGATTATCCGGGTCAACATATAGGATACTTTTTACTGCGGGAAAATATCTCATCTCTTAGAAACCTATATTAACCGATAAAACGTATCTAGGGACGAACCCGAGCAAAGCGATGGTAAGTCGGATTTTTTCTCGTTTAAATTTAAGTAATTAATTTTCATTTAAGTAAAGTTTAATTTATGTAATCTTGTTCTATATATAATTTACAAAGTTAAAAAAAACAATATTTAATTTTATTTAGTTTGTTATCATTTATAATTAAAATATCAAGCAACAATATTTAACAGAACTCGGTGAAGGTGTCACTTTCTATGAGAGAAAGAGTTTTCCGAATCATATCAGTAGGTTTTTTTAGAACACCACAAAGACTATAACATTAATGTCATAAATATATTATTCCTAGAACAAAGAAGACGCAGACAGGTTCCTAGCTTTACCAGCGGATGAGTTACGGTTAGACGGTCAAGTGATGCAAGTGAGACCCGCCTTGAAGAAAGAAAACCTGCAGACTGGGAACAAGAAGCAACCAAAAGATAACAGAAACCTGTATCTGGTTAAGGAAGGAGGTTCGTTGTTTTTTTATTTAACGTATTTTGATTAGCTTCACTTGTGAGTAACTAACCGTAGGTATAATCTAGTTTTAATCAATTTAAATATACTTTTAAGTTTCATAAAGATTTGAAATTTTGTATGTTTAATTTGAATGGCATGGTCATATATTTGATACCATCACGTTGATCTGATGATATAGCCAAAAGTAGAGCTCTCCAATGGCTGCAAATATGTAAAACTATCGGAATTAGGGCTTATTTGATTCTTTTTCAAGAGACCTCTTATGTAACAATTGGTTTATGCCTTTTTTTAGTTATTGTATAGAGATTGTTTATGGTCCAGATATCGATATATTGTAAATTATTATTATATTTAAAAAGAGCAACTGTTGAGTTTCTCGCCGGTCCTTCTCAGCAGAACCTTCCTAGCAGGTGGTAGATTCCTCACGGACTCATTTAATTTAAGTATAATGTGTAAAAATGACGATTCAATAGTATTTGTAAAAGAATATGTATGTGAATAAAGTATATTTTGATTTGAATATCAATTCTTCTTTAAATAATAGTCTTATATATAACTGGCGAGTAGCGACTCACTCTCGTTTCGGTGCGTCCCTACTTACGTTTTAACGTTTAGTATAGATTTCTTAGAGATAAGACATTTTCCCGCAGTAAAAAGTATTCTATATGTTGACCCGGATAACCAGATATCATCATACCAAATTTCATCAAAATCTGTCTAATAGTTTTTGTGAAGCGGTCACAGACAGACAGACAAAAATTCTACAAACAGATAGATACAGATTCGGCTTAGTTAGAATTTTATGTATAGATTTATTTTCTATCCCAGTGATAGTAGCGGGTACTAAAGCTGCAGTGGGAGTGTCCGCCTCCGACATGGCGAAGCGGCTCGCGCTGGAGCGCAGCAAGACGCAGATGTTGAAAAATTTAAACAGGTCTAAATAGTATTCTAATAAATATGTAATAAGGTCTAGTTTGGTTTGAATTAAAATGGCAATATAAACATAGTGGAGACATCATTTTCCATATTTCTAACTTAAATATGATAAACTTACATTTCTACTTTGATTTTTAATTTAACACTTGAAATGTTTTTTTAAATAATACTTTCTTAGATTTACGCGAATACTTGACATTTTAAATAAAACTTCTTAAAATAAATTCGCGAAAAAATCCGAAAAGATAGTTTCATTTAAAATGTTTTTTTTAATATTTTTAGTGGTCACTTTTGATATATAAGGATCTTTCCTAGAATCAGCCGTTTCGGCTTTTCGTTGTTTCTGAATCAATTATTTAAGGATTGTTATTAAGTATATAATAAAATAAGTAACTTCAATTAAATTTTTTATAATTTCTGAAATTTTTATTGTCGGACGGGACTGACGGGAATACGTTATAATACAACTCAAACAAATATTTATGTTGAGAATGACATGAAACTTGGTATTAATGCTTTTTAATACAATTAAATAAATATGTGTTTTAACATTTTTCGAAATTCAACCTGATGAAAGTTTGTGTGAAACCTACCTTTTTAGAGTTTTTTTTGTAGTTTTTTGCGCAAGCGAAGCCGTTGATGAGTTGTTGTGGGTTGTATTTATAATAATAATCATCATTTGCCTATGTCACTCTCAAGCCCTCCAATTATCTCCTCACTAAAAATCACGCAAATCCGTCACTCTGTCTCGACGTGAAAGAAGAACAGACAAACAAACACATTTTCACATCTATACTAATATTATAAAGAGGTATAGTTTGTGAGAGTGTGAGTTTTGTGACGTTGTAGGGGGTAATCTCTGGATCTAGTGAACCGATTTAGATGAAATTTGGTAAGAAGATAGTTTGAGATCCTGGGAAGGACATAGGATACTTTTATTCCGGAAATTATTCCTTAAAGGGGTGAAAATGGGCATGAAAGTTAAATTGGGAATCAAGCAAGGGATGAACCTGAGCGAAGCGAGGGTGAGTCGCTAGTTTATAATATTAATATTAAAGTCGTCCCACCAGAGTATGAGAGTAACAGGAATAGAGAGTGCACGTTGTGTCTGCGCGTACACTTGTGCACTATAATATCTCCTGCGCAGTTGGCTAGTCTCAATGAGATTAGCCGCCGTAGCCGGAATCGGCTAGGAGAACATCATCATCATTAAAGTATGGATTTAATAGGTTCGTGTCCCGATACCGGTTGGTAGTGTCCAACCTCCCCGCTAACTACGACGACGCGGGACTGCGGCGCGTGTGCGCGCGCGCTGCGCCGCGTGCGACCGTCACGGAGGCGCGCGTCATGCGCGACCTGAGGGCGGGCTTGCAGCGGGACGGTAAACACCCGTGAGTATACACTATCGTGTGTTAATAATCTTTATATATATAATTCTTCTGTGAGTGTGTATGTCACTGAACTTCTCTCAAACGACTGGACCGATTTTGATAAAATTCTGTTCGCGCGAATACTCTGTTTGCTTCTTTGTATTGGCGCGTATATTAGCCGACCTGGGCCAACGTTCTTAGCGGATTTAAAATTGTACAAAATTTCAATTTTATATTATTCCGCAGGTTAAATCTAAAAATGTTGACTTAATCTACATGTACTTACCGAAAATAAGACATTCTCGCTGAAAAATTTCTTCTTCGTGCATTATTTTTACAACTTTTAAATACACATTGCGGCCTCGTGAACGTGTTTACGTTGGCAGTGTTTCAATAGAACTAATCGAAATATACGCTCACTTTGCAAGTGAGCTTATATTTACCGCCCATATCTAAGTATTATTGTTGATCGAAGTAAGGGGGATACCTTGCACTCTGTTGTCTTATCTTCGCCACTCACAATGACTAAATTTAAAACGTATCTAGGGACGTGCCCGAGTAAAGCGTGGATAAGTCGCTAGTAATATTTATTTGTTTTGCAGATCGAAAGGCTACGGCTTCGTGATGTTCACTCGGCACGAGGACGCGCTCGCCTGCTTGAGGAAATTGAATAACAATCCTGATATATTCGATAGAAATAATGTAAGTTCCATATTAGTCTTTTGTATCTCAAAAGTCACTTTTAGTTAGGCTCACTATTTTTAGATTTAGATACGCAAAACTTTGTAATTACCTATATATATTATATTACCTTTGTAATTACATATATATAAAATGGTTTTTCTGTTTTTTTTTTATTATTTGTAAGAAAAAATCATTATTTACAAAAAAAAAAACTTCAAGTCTTAAAACCATGACAATAGCCTAATAATCATAAAATCTTAAATTGTATTTCTTTATTATTATTTTTTGTAGATAGACGCCGTCTGTAATTGATTTGTTGTATCGATTATTTTCTACTGGTTTGCTGCAATTGTATTTGCTAAATAAGAACACGTCCGTTATGTATTGCGTTTATTTTACAACTGTCAGTACTACCTACATACAAAGCATACTAATACTTAACTCTTACTTATATACTATGTAATTACCCTCTTATAATATACAACACCTCCACCCTTAATTAACCCTACATACATACATGTTATAATAAATTGTTTACACATCAATAAGTTCATTTAATCTATTTACAGAGCTATACTTCTCACATTTCACCCCCTTCTTATATTATTATCCTATGTTTAATATATAATTAAAGTTAAGAAATTTAAATATTAAGCTAATATGACAACAACAAAAAAAAACAATATATTACGAACTATTATCTTCACCTATTTATTCTCAAATTATCTTACAATTATTATATCTAGGTATACTTAATCAAATTCGTCTATACCTAAGCGTACTGGGGGTTTTCGTACTCTTTAAATTTGCGGAAATAATTCCGTCTCTGTTTGCGACTTCTCGCTTTCCGTCACACTGGGGCTTGAGGGCTGCGGAACTGGCGACAACGCCACCGGCGGCGCAGTCAGGCCCTCAGGCTCAACTGGACTTTTTTCGGGTATTATGAGTGTGCTAGTTCTACGTGGCTTAGGTGGTACACTTACATCGACCGTAGGGTCTGAAACTCTCGTTCTTAATTGGTCGACATGCCTATGTACCTCCGTTCCGTTTTGACACCGAATGTTATAATCTGTGTTACCTAATTTCTCTGTGACTTTACCTGGCACCCACTTATCGCTAGAACCGACGCGGTAGTCCCTACACCAAACACATTCTCCGGGCTCAAAACCTCGGTGTACCCTGCCTTCCCCTTGACTCTGTGTTTGTCGTTCTAACACGCGTTGCGAACGATCTGGTTTCAATTTATCTAAACGCATACGTAAATTTCTACCTTGTAAAATTTTTGCTGGGCTTTCCCCTGTGCTATAGTGTTCCGTATTCCTATATGCTAACAAAAATCGACATAAAGCTGTATCTATATCAATTTTACTTTTGATTGCCTTTTTAATCGTTTTTTTTACACACTTTCACCGCGTTTTCTGCAGCCCCATTTGAAGCAGGGTGGTAGGGGGCTGAGAAAATTTGACCTATTCCGTTATTGTTTAAAAATGTACTAAACTCCGCACTAGAAAATGGGGGGCCGTTATCGCTCACTACTTGCTTTGGTAAGCCAAATCTCGCCCATATCTCTCGCAACACTGCGATAACCGATCTGGCATTAGTACCTTTCATTTTAACTGCTTCAATCCATTTTGAACATGCATCTACTATGATTAAATAAGTTACCCCTTGTATTGGACCCAAGAAATCAAGATGTAATCTAGACCATGGACGATCTGGCCAAGGCCATGGGCGAGACTCGTGAGCTGGAGGCGCGTCGGCTACGCTCGCGCACACGGCACATGCGCGACAAGCCGCCTCGATAGCCTCGTCCAATCCGGGCCACCACACATAACTTCGCGCTAGAGCCTTTGTTTTTACCATGCCCATGTGAGATTCGTGTAATTCCTCTATTACTTTACTCCTACAAACCGACGGGATGACAACTCGGTGCCCCCACATGATGCAACCTAGTTCGTTATACAATTCTGTTTTTCTATTAAGATACGGTTTGAGCTCTCTTAATTCGACGTCGTCCGGCCATCCGTCCGTTATATAGCTCAATACTCGGCTAAGTAAGGGATCCCTAACGGTCTCTTTTTTTAACATGTTATAATCTAATAAGAGCGCTTCGGTAGCGAAATGTAAGTATGTCTGTTCAGGTACTTGTTCCTCGGCGGCGGCGCCGGGAACCGCTTCTTCTTTGTGCGCTTTTATTAACCGCGAAAGCGCATCCGCCGTGTTTCTATCCGTGTCTATGTATTCTATGGAAAAATCGTAGGCAGAAAGCTTAATCGCCCACCTCTGTAACCGACTCGCTGCCGTTGTTGGGATACCAATATTTGGTCCAAAAATACTAACTAACGGTTTATGATCCGTCCGTAACACAAACTTTCTACCAAATAAATATTGATGAAATTTACCTACAGCAAATATTATAGCTAATGCCTCTTTATGGATTTGACTGTAATTTTTTTCAGCACACGTAAGTGCCCTCGAGGCGTATGCGACCGGTCGCTCCGAGCCGTCCGGCGCGCGCTGCGCCAGCACCGCGCCTAATCCGTACGCGCTCGCGTCACACGTCACCACCGTCTCCCGGGACATATCATAATGAACCAACACATCTGTACCACACAAGAGTTTTTTCACGATAACGAATGACTCTTGCTGTTCTTTCCCCCATTGATAATGTCTACCTTTTTTCAATAGTTTATAAAGTGGGGCTAAATACAATGCTAAACCTTTAACAAACTTGCCGTAAAAATTAACCATTCCCAAAAATGATTTTAGTTCCGTTGTACTCCGCGGAGGTGGCATATTTACTATAGGCTGTATTTTATCCGGATTTACTCGTACTCCTTTTTTATCTACAATGAAACCTAGATACTGCACTTCTTCAGCAAAAAATTCGCATTTATTCTTTTTAATCTTAAGCCCTTTCCTTTCTAAAATATCAAACACTTGTTCAATTGTTTCACAATGACTCTTAATATCCTTATTTTTGATTAAAATATCGTCATAAAATATTATTACTCCGGGTACATCTTTAAATAAAGTTTCCATAAATTTTTGAAAGATACCTGGGCTTGATGCTAGCCCATAAACAAGGCGATTATATTTGAACAACCCCCTATGGGTATTGATCACTGTGTACGCTCTCGATGACTCATGCAAAACTAGTTGATTGTACGCTTGAGACAAGTCTAACTTCGTAAAATATTCATTGCCACTAAGGTCACTAAACAAATCGTCCATTTTAGGAACGGGATACCTGTCGACCATTAAGAATCGGTTCAGTGTTACTTTATAGTCAGCGCATATACGTATACCACCATCTGCCTTACTTGCTATAACGAGCGGCGTTGCCCAGTCCGAGCGCGCCACGGGCTCGATGACGCCGGCACGCAGCATTGCATCCAGTTCCGCTTCGACGCGCGCGCGCAGCGCATACGGCACTGGTCGGGCGCGGCAAAACACCGGCGAAGCACCCTCGCGCAAATGCAACTGCACCTCCGGCCCCGTATATCGCCCCAGTGTGCCGTCAAACAATGAATCATGCCTGCAAATTAAGTCATTTATTAATTTAGATTTATTTACTTTTTCGTAAGAGATATTATTAAAACTAAGTGGTGGGACTTCAATGCTCAATTCTGAAAGCCATTGACGCCCTAACAAAGTAGTAGTACCATTATCGATGACATATAAATCTAACATCTTTTTCCTATCTTTGTAACGGACTTCTACTTGGATATAACCCAAAGGCTTTATAATAGAACCATCGTAAAACTTTAGAGTTAATCGACACGGGTGCAATTTAACGTTACCGTATTTATTCCAGTATGTATTATTACTTATACATGACAATGATGATCCCGTGTCGATTTCCATTTTTAATGGTTTATTATTAACTAATAACGTAAGACCCACCGGCTTATATTTCGCTAACGACATTTGATACATCGGTTCGTCGAGTTGTTCGTCATCCCTCTGCTCCGCTTCGAGTTCGTCGTGACTCGTCGGCTCCCGCAGCCAGTATGCGCGCGCGCCGTACCCGCGCCCCGCACCGCCGCCGCGCGCCCGGCCCCGCCCGCGTGCGACGCTGCCTCCCCGCGCTCCACCGCCGCCGCTGCTGCCTCTCCCCGCGCCTGTCACGCCGTATCCGCGTGAACCATTGCGATCATTACCGACCGATTCGAATTTAGCGCTATCGACAACTGTTTTGTCCGGACACATTCTTCTTAAGTGGCCTAGCCTCCGACAATAGCTACATTCGAAAGCCTTATATCTGCAACTATCCGTTGTATGTCCATTCACTCCGCAAGCCGTACACCTGGCCTGCCGTGTAGCGAACGTTTGCATTTTGTGCACACCTTGAGTGCTAGTGCCCTCAACTGCACCCGCGTTCCTCTCCGCTGCTTCCAGTGTCGACGCTAACTTAACTGCCCTACTGTAAGTAATATCGTCCTCAGCGAAAAGCCGCTGCCGAGTGCACTCGCTGCTGATACCGCAAACGAGCTGATCACGGAGGTTTTCTTCCAGCGAGGATTTGAAATCGCAATCCTTGGCTAATTTCTTTAGCACGGCGACATAATCTGCAACGGTTTCTCCCTCTGCTTGACGCCGTTGCCGAAACTTATATCGTTCTGCTAATATGGACGGTTTCGGTTGTAAATGTGCCGACATAAGCGCTACCGCTGCAGCATATGTTAATGTCGATGGTGCTTTTGGACTCGCCAGTGTCGACAAAAGTTGATATGCCTCCTCCCCCATGACCGTTATTAACGTTGCTAACTTTAAATCTTCTTCAACTTTATTGGCAAGTAAATACATCTCCACTCTTTCACTATACGCTGCCCAGCTCCCATTCTTCAAGTCAAACTCTTGCAATTGTCCAAACACCATTTTTTTAACTTTTTTAATCCTCGTCGCCACTGCTAAATAAGAACACGTCCGTTATGTATTGCGTTTATTTTACAACTGTCAGTACTACCTACATACAAAGCATACTAATACTTAACTCTTACTTATATACTATGTAATTACCCTCTTATAATATACAACAGTATTGTCATTTCCCAAAAATATGCATTCAAATTTCCATCGCCTTTTTGAATCATAGTAATTTTGAATAATGTTTTATTTACAGAGACCTATAGTGTCATTCTCAATAGAAGATCGAACAGCACTAAACGCAAGGAAAAAGAGGTTGGAAAAATCTATAGCAAATAACCCGCTGGCCAAAAAGGATGATGAAAGTAATGAAAATAAACAGAGAAACAGGAAACGGAAAAACACTTTCACCCCAGATGAAAGTTACATGAAGAAAGGACGATTTGATAACAAAAATAATAAAAATAACTGGAATAATAAAAATAATCAGAATAACTCAAATAACCAGAATAATCAAAATCACCGAAAAAATCGTTATATTAAAAATAATCGTAATAATCAAAGTAATCAAAATGACGAGGTTGGAAGATTTGTTAAAAAAACAACACAAGACGCAGAAGAATATACAGGATTAACAGCTAAAGAAGGAAGTCAGCACAACATGAGGAGTGGCCATAAACTAAGAGCACAAGCCGACATCCATAGACAAAACGTCAAGCTAGAGAAGAAAAAGAGCAAGCGAGCGATGCGATTAAAGATGGCGGCGCGGGAAAGGATAAAACAGCCAAAGCAAAAGATTAATAAAAGTAAAACTGTTAAAAGGAACAAGAAAAGGAAGTTTAACGATGAAATTATTTAGGTAATAATATGTAATAATTAAAAAGTCCACCACACTGAGAGTTTTATTTTACAACCATATTAACAATATTATATCACTTTATAATAATAGCCCGAAGAATAACACCAAAAACGTTTAAATAATATATGTACAAAAATAAACTTTTTATTTTTAAAAATGATAATTAACTGGGTATATGAAAAAAAAAATAGTTACGTCGTAGAATTTTCGTCTTCGCAAACGATGAGTTTATCGATTCACTTAATGTATAGGAAATTTTACGTATTGCCTCAGACTTTACTACTAAAATTATTAGATGTAGCCAAAAAAATGTCCAAGTCCAAAATAGTAGTCTTTTGCTGTTTATGCTATTCTTGATTTTGCCACATACATATATTGTTTCCTTTCTTCAAAGAATAAGGAAAATTTTATATAAGTATGCACTTATTAGTCGTTAATTTAACAATTTTCAAGAAGAAAATATAAAAAGTAAAAATTTTTTTTAAGCATTAGTTCTCTTTCCCTTGAAAAAGAGATAAAATCACATCAATGAATAATCAATTAATATTTGTATTCTGTTTTAAACCATCATAATATATTAATTTAGAGGCTTTATGTTTAGTTCTACTGCACAATCTATATTATTCCTTAGTCTGAGGGTCTTTTCTGTGTTTATTTAAAGACATCGATTGCACTCTATGGCTGCTATAATAGTACGTTCACAACGTTAATAAAACCCGCAGCTTTAGCTGTAACGTATTTTGAAGAAAAAATCAGTTTTGTATTAGTATAGTTTGTTCTAAATCAGTCTACACTTAGGTGTACACTGTATTGTAAAATTAATACCAAGTTTAAGTTGATTAGGAAAAAAAGTACATTTTTAGGCTCTACATGTTTCATATAATGAACGATTTCACGCAACTGATGTCTCAAACACGAAGAAAGAAAACAAAGTAGTTCAACATAACATGTTTAAGTATAATATTATTAATTAGATAACTTAAAAATACCTATTAAAACTTGAGACCGCCATTTTAACTTCTGTTTAATAATACACATACAAATATATACATATGTATATTTTACTATCACAGTATATTTAAATTCGAGCCATTACAAAATGGCGAGGAATGAGCAATTATAAAAAAAATACCTGCGCAGTTTTATGCGTTTTTATGACATAATAAGTATTTTAACATTGCTAGTAAATACTCATATTTTAACATACAATAATCGATATCGAAAATACAAAACTAAAACATGTAAAGCTGACCTCACAAACTCGTATAAAGTAAACCTGCCATAGTAAAAAAATCCATCGCCTTTGAATTTGAACTGCTGTTAAATGGAACGATTGTCAAAAATACAAATTGTTAACCGACTTCCAAACAGGAGGAGGTTTTGTGTTCGTCTGTATGTATGTTTTTTATGTAGGTTCATCGATTTTACGGAGACAGCTTAATCAATTTTGCTACTTTAAACTGTATTCTATTAAGGTAGGTCCCAAGCTGGTTTGGGGCGTCACGGTTGTATGCGAAAGCGGTCCCGTGGCGTCCCACATGGCGGCTGTGGGGAAAGTTGGGTTTTAGTGGGTATGCCGGTCTCATTAGCCGGAGAGTCTCCACATAACCACCCTGGGGGGGAAGTCGGGTGGTATCCGTAATAGGATTTCCCAACTAAAAAAAAAAAAAAAAAAGGTCCCAAGCTGGTCTGACACCGACTTCTAATATACCTATTGTATTAGGTATATAGGTATAGTAAATAAAAACCACCGTTCAGTTATTTTTTACTTTTTAGTGTCTGGAAGTCGGTTTTTTACTTTATAAAGACGATTTAAATGTTAAAGCTGTGTAATGCCATCTCGTGGCAAGTTGTCTTATCCTCGCCAAACTTTTTGGCTGCCCTGAATTGGAGACACCTTCGATAGACGACTGTATGGATTAGTAGGCTGTGCCTTACTTTACATAGCCAGAATACTGAATATATGATTCCAGAGATTCCTATATCAATGTCGATTAATGAAAGATATTTATTATGTCTAAGAAGAAATCTATACTAATATTATAAAGGGGTAAAGTTTGTGAGTTTGTGAAGTTGTAGGTGGTAATCTCTGGATCTGCTGAACCGCTATAGATGAAATTTGGTAAGAAGATAGATTGAGACCCTGGGAAGGACATAGGATACTTTTTATCCCGGAAATCATTCCTTAAGGGGGTGAAAATGAGAATGAGAGTTTGTATGGGGAATCAACCTAGGGACGAACTCGAGCGAAGCGAGGGTGAGTCGCTAGTATTAGATAAAGTTAGACGGTAAGCGCGTCTCCGAGTAACGTGTTGTCGGATGTGAGCACGCACGAGTGCGGTGTATTCCTCGGGGTGCGCCATGTAGTGCCGCACGTGCGCGGAGTCCGGCCAGCACTGCCACGTACACTGAACACAACAAATAATTAGCTAGTGTTATTTAGTATACGGCGAATCCCAATTAACCTATCTAGCTTGGGTTTCGTGATATTAGTTCCAAGCAAGCTATATCAAATTCTGTCCCTAGCAATGAAGACCACAGAATGATGGTTTATAGGGGATGTTTCAAACTTTCTACTAACGATACCTACCGATAAAAATTAATAAAACAATGACGTAATAACAAGCACATATTAATCCCATGGTCATGTGTATCTTTATAAAACAGAGAAAATATTAACAATACTTATTTAGTTTGTTGATGGTGTCCAAAAGTTGTTTAGACAATGTTCGAAAGTAAGTAGTTTTTGATCAATACCTAAGTAATGTTTAATTAATTCAAACACATATTAGGTACTAAGGGGCATCCATTAATTACGTGAGGCGTTTAGGGAGGCGGGAGGGTGGGGGGGGGGGGGGGTGTAGGGTCCAAGCAAACCTCACTCAATCTCACGTGGGGGAGGGGGTGGTCTCGACAAACATTAAGTAAATTGATCGACCTGTGGCCGAAAAATCGTCAAAGTTGTCTCACGTAATTAATGGATGCTCCCTAAAATGTATACTTTCAGCAGACTGGAACAGACATGAAATTGTGTATATAATATTGTTATAGTAATATTTATACCATGTACATTTTCAGTAGTCTAACTGTTCAGACCAGACAAGCACGAACTTAAGATTAGCGATGAACAAAATGATATATACCTCAATCCCCTTTTGCAACCACAAGTTATAAGCCCTCCGGATCCTCATTTCGTTGCCGACGGGGTCCGTACTAGAGAGCAAGAACAGTGCGGGCGCGCGGCAAGGGGTGTCGTAGTACGTCTCGCAACCCATTTTGTAATGTACTGTTGCTATGTTTTTGAATGCTTTTAGGTAGCACCTGTAAGTATTAAACAAAGTTAATTATCATTATTAGAATCCCGCAATCCCGAATTTCTGTTAGCTATTACACCCGCTTACCAAATCGCATATTTCGTGGCTGTCTGAGCTAATTTGTTATTAGGGAAGATGGCTAAAGGCACCCCTATATGGACCTCCGTGCTGTCGGCCACTGAGTCCCACACTTGCGCTTCTACGCGGTCTAGAGCCAGCTGATACCTGCAAAATTCATTATTTTAATGTAATTTAAAAGAAAACAACACTAAAAATCTATACATATAATAAAATTGTAACTAAGCCGAATCTGTTCATTAGATATTTTTTGGAAAATCTTATTGAAATAAACATAAGTTATCATTCGCCGACATTATATTTATGAGATCTTTCTCTATAACCTGAAACAATTATATTATTATAAATTCTATTTTATAAGTTATCTCTAGACTCCAGTACGAAATATTAAGAAATGTGTAAAGATAATAAAATAAAACTATATGTGTATACGCACTTGTTGCTCTACAATATCTCCATGCAGATATGATTGAGAATGTAATTTAATTAGTGAATCACTATTTAGAACCTTTAGAAGTTCGTAATATAATGTCCCCACCTGTCTCTTTGTTCCATTGCATGTACTAACGCCTCCGACCATACGTAACCGCCTACTGAGAAGCCATGAACAACGTAAGAGTTATCATTCGCCGACATTATATTTATGAGATCTTTCCCTATAACCTGAAACAATTATATTATTATAAATTCTATTTTATAAGTTATCTCTTGACTCCAGTACGAAATATTAAGAAATTTCTTTAGCGACTTACCTTTGCCTCTTTCGGGTGCCTTCCTAGGTGCCTACCAGTAGCCTACATGTTATTCAAAGTCATATCTATCTGTGTACTTTTCATCCAAAGCCGCTTCAGCCGCTACAGTGTCAAGGAGTAACAAACATTCATACACACTAACTTTCGCATTTTTTAAATAGTAGTCCGATATAATATTACATTGTCTATGCATCAAATTTTAATTAAAATAAAAAAAAAACACAACACAAAAACGGTTGAACCGATTTTGAAAAAAAATATCTAAGAACCACCGCTTGCTTTCAAATAGAAAAACCGCTTCCGAATTTGTTCATTCGTTTTAGAGCTACGGTGCCCCAGATAGACACATACATATAGCTGTTGAACTTATAACATCTCTCTTTTTGCGTGGGGGGTTTAAAAAAGCTTAACTGCAGGGTCTCACCTTAGCACCTTTTTTCGGCAATATCAGTTGCCACAGGTCGCAGGACACGCGCAACACATCGAATCCTTCATCTAGATATATGCTCGCATATTTCATCACTTGCTTAGGGCTCGCTTGCAACCAGTTTAACATTATACATATTGGTCTATCCATTTCTTTATTTAACCTGATACCAAAAACCAAAATATATGTTATATAATAATATATGTGTATAAAAAGTTTTAGTGTGGGGCACTCATTTTGCTAATTATTTTGTTTTCATACTTATGCGATATTTTCATCTATACATATAATAAAATTGTAACTAAGCCGAATCTGTACATTAAATATTTTTTGGAAAATCTTATTGAAATAGACATTATTATCGATACAGAGGCCGAATCTATAGTTTTTAGTATTTTTGTCTGTCTGTCTGTCTGTCTGTTACCGCATCACAGAAAAACCACTGGAGGGATTTTGATGAAATTTGGTATGGTGTTAGCTGGTTATCCGGGTCAACATATAGGATACTTTTTACCGTGGGAAAATGTCTCATTTCTGATAAAAAATACAAAAACTGCAATGTAAGAGTATACTAATATGTAAAACCTAAGATATAGTTTTTGGTCACCTGAGCGCGGGCGGCGCCGCGGGCAATGCTAGTCAGTTATAAATTCATTTCCAAACACAGTCATTTTCTTTGTTTTTGTTATGTATGATAGAAGATTCGAGGATAGCTGAATTTAATTTACCTCTACAACTGTGATCTACTTTTTTTAGAGATTTCTTATATGCTGGTTTATTGACATCAAACAAATAAACTGTATATATTTAATACTTTCTTAGATTTACGCGAATATTTGACATTTTAAATCTTTTAAGTCTTTTCGGATTTAAAAAAAAAATTAAATGTAAATATTTACTCTTATTCAATTGTTTAAATATTTCTTTTCCCTTTTGTAGCAACAACTATTTTTATACAATCAGACGACAAATAAAAACTATCTATTATGTGCTAATTACTATACTAATACTGTTAATTATTGAATTGTGTGGATTATTAAATATTTAATGTTATTTATTCATTGAATTATGAGATAATAATTTAAATGTTATTCTTATTGATTTTCATATCATTTTTAACGCATTTATGCAGTCGGACACGTTTCAGACTAATGCCGCAAGATGTTAGGTAGGTACCTACATGTGTATGTCTCCGACTGCATAATACTATATTCCTTCGTCAACTTGTTTTCATCTTTTTAATTAGCTTTTATGCAGTCGGGGTTTTTTTTTATAATATATTTTTTTATTTACAGCTTTTTAGTTTTTGCCAATTAGACATTTAAAGTAATACCTATTTAGCAATTTTTTATCCTAAAATACTTTTAAACATATATGTTATATGTATATATTTTTCTGATCGCGTCTTAAAAACCTTTATATTGATACCCCACTCGATAAGTTTGGAATACTTTTTTTAAAGACACACAAATTGGCGCTTGAAATCATTTAACTCTAACAAACTAATTCAACATTCGCGTTATCAAATCGAATATAACGACGTATGCATCATCAAAATCGGCCCAGGCTTTTCGTCTTTAGAATGCCATATAGGAACAAACACACATATTACATACATATGTACATAGACTGATAGGCACATTATCCTCCTTTGCGTCGCTCAGTCGGGTAAAAATACAAAAATGGCACCAAAGTACCTTACAATATTTGTTGATTTTAATTCAAAATTTTTTTTTCAGAAGTTTTATAATTGAACGCGGGTAAGTATATTATTTATTTAATTTTTTGTAACAAGTGTTTACCTAAGTATGTTTTTATTAGCTTGTTTATTTATTACCTTAATTATTTGTATTACCGGCGATGCCACAGTTTGTAGCGTTTTTTTCCTTGCCGACACTCAAAATATTATATTTTGTTTAATAGCACGGGTTCTGGGTTTGTTCACCTTGTCGTGGTGGGGGGGCTCAGTAGTGCCCGGCAATCCAACCGGGCGCGAAGCCAAGAAACGCACAGGGAGGTGGCCCACTTCGGTGGGCGGTGGGAGGTGGCCCTCTTCGATGGGCGGTGTACCATGTGGGTTGCTCCTGGTACTTCTTTGATAGCAGAGTGGACCTTGGAGCAACCCTATGGTTGTGGTGGTCTACTTCGGCAGACCTGCCGTCGTGGCGTCGTAGTTGAATGCGATCCTGAGACGCCCAATTAAGACGGGGGACGGTTTTGTTGGATTTTAGTGGGTAGTACTGGCTTCGCCGGTAAGTCCCACACCTCGTGCGTAAAACGCATTTCCCAACGTTAAAAAAGGGGTTCTGGGTTTGAAATTAAAAAAAGACCTAACGAGAAGGCTAAGCCTACCAAGTTCAAGCCTACGTTACCCAAGTCGGATCCGTCACAATCGAAAATTCAAAAAGACTAATAAATACCTAATCTTCGCAAATTAAAAAAAGTCCACTGAAATTCTATACATATTAAAATCTTAACTGTTATTGGGTTGTAGTATTTCTTAGCTCTATGTCGAAATTATGTTTTTGATTTTAAAAACTTCAATTTATTCGCAGCGATCAGTGAATAACGGACCGAGGCTTCCCGCTACATCCTCCTGACTCCTGCTCCTATTGACAATTTATCTAGGATAATTCCAATTTCACTAAATGTGATTAGGGAAATAATAATATACCTAAAAATGTCCCGATATTGTAAGAAAAGGAGACGAATGACAATACTGCGGGTAATTATAATTTCACTAGTAAAATGATAATTTAACGGATCTTACAATTTACCTGCGACATGTACATACTCGTAGATGTTGCTAGATTTATTATTAAATTTTAGATTACTTACTTCATGGTTTTTTGGTCTAAAGTAACTTTTTCATCATTGTTAGAGATGTAAAATATATTTTTGGTGATATTTTGTGAGTGCGCACCGCGAAGAACCACCCTCGACAAACGGTTTGAATTGGAAGGCAGTAGCATTTTGAGAATATTCTGTAACAAAAATACAAAATAATTACGAAGTTAAATATTAATATATAAATAAATATAACATTGGTAGGAATATATGAGGCAATATATGTAAATACTTACTTTATGCACGATCATTTTTTTCGTATTTTAAAGTATAATAATATTATCTTTAAGTAGCATCTGCTTATCTGCAATAGTAATATTTCCATATTTTATTAAATTAAAAAAAATTAAGTGTTTTCTTAATATGTTTAGCGGTGAACGGAAACGGCTTGATAATGATCTATGATTTTAAAATATATAATAATGATTTTAAAATATTTAAATTATAACAGTTCATTTGTATGATACAAAGCTCAAATAGCCATTTCAAACATTTGTCGGTCTTACCGATGGTATCCTAATCTTGAGGATGACTAAACCGATTTTAACGACACACAAGCTAATATTATGGATACCATTGGATTTCACGGAATAGAAGGAACAACAGAAGTCAAGGATATAATTTACCACAGGATAGAAAAGATTCTCTACCCCTCAAACGGATAGGTTTTGTGTTTAATTTTTATCATGTGGTAACTTTCGTATTTTTGGAGTACTGAAAGTAAACCGATCGATACTTTGTACTCGAAGTCCGCGCGCGCAGTTATGAGTTTACAATACAAAGCAATAAGTCCGTCTAATTTTTTCAATGAAAAAAATGTATCTTCTTTGACTGAGGGCATTATAAAAAAACCAAATCTATACAAATGTAAATATTTACTTAATAGCGGAAAATGTAAAGTAGGCATTAGAATATTTAAATAAAATTCAACGATTTTTATTTTTTGTTTTAAAATACAATTTAGTTAGGATTTATTCCATTGATGTCTGCTACTATTTACGAATGAAAAATTCATGCATTAATTTTGAACATTTAAAGTTGGCTTCGTATTGTAATTTTACCACTCTAATGCCCGATTTCACCAACATCCCTTAGGCTACCACCTACGTATGGGATCCCTAGCTTAAAGTTCCCCCTAAACTAGCCCCTAAATTAAATTTTGTTTTACCATCGTCAGAGCCCGTATTTCTAGTACCTATATTTAAGTGGCATTTTAACGTCTAGGTGACCCTTAACTGTCGGTGAAACAGAAACTGTCCCCTAACAGCCCCCTAACCGTGCTTAGGAGATCCCTTAAACTTAAGTGACATAAAACTAGACATGTCTACGACAAGCCAATGAAGTGACGCTATTTGCAGCATGTCTTAATATTTAATATTGAGTATCCGACTCCTGAGCCGTCGTTTTTAGAGCGGAACATTTATAATTCATTATTCATACTTTTGTTAAAGTATGAATAATGAATAAACAATTTTGTCTTATATTAATCTTTAAATAAGTTTCAAATAGGTTTTTATTTATGTTTTTTGCATTCTGCGGTACCACTTTAGCACAGTTTATTCCGCTATTGACTTTTTTTTATTGACTTGCTTCCGAACTTCGGAGGTTCGGCAGATCCTAAGATTCTGGGCTTGAGTCCAATATCGCACCAATTATACTTTTTGAGTTTTTCACTCAGGAAAAACTCAGTTGCAGCTTGGGTATCAGCTTAATTAGTTATTAAGAGCGTAGCATTGATTTACAAAATATACATTAAATGAAAAAAATCCTTATCTTTAATATTAAGTTATACAGTGAAAATAAATAAGTATATTTGTTCCCACAGAAGTTGTTATTTAAATCCATTTCATAAACTTTTTCTAATAATCTAATTTTCTCCATGTCCATAAATTATAGTCTAAATCCAAAATGCCATTTGTCATTAGATCACGTACCTACAATTTTTTTATGTGATAGTTTTCGCACTATGTAGTAAAATTGCGAAATTTAGGTTACAATAAACGGACAGACAGACGCTCACTTACAAGAATGACAGTTTTACACCTCCATCCGCTTTTTATCGGATGTACGGGACTCTAAAAACCTGACAAACACAGACGACACGACCTGACACGCTATAAATAATAACAGTACTTAAAGTTAGTTATTAACGCTATTAACCTTGAATAAAAGTCATCAAGTTCCATTGTATACATTTTAATTATACCTTGGAATACCTATAGCGCTAAAAAAGCCAACAATCACATATCCATCCTTCCATACTTAATATTAAACATGTGAAAGTGTGTTTGTTTGTCCTTTTTTCACGTCGAAACAGAGTGACAAATAGGCGTGATATTTTGTGTGGGAGTAATTGAAGGGCGTGAGAGTGACATAGGCTTTTTATTGAGGGAGATTATCTTATTCCCCCGGGAAAACACGTTATAACACAACCCAAAAAATATATGTTTATGATCAGAAATACTTGAAACTTCGTATTAATGTTCTTCAATACAATTAAATAAATACGAGTTTTAGCATTTTTCGAAATTCATCCCTTAAGAAGGTAAGACGGGCTGAAAGTTTGTATGAAACGTACCTTTTTAGAGTTTTTTTGTAGATTTAGCGCGAGCGAAGCCGCGGGTGCGACTAATACATATTATAAAAACGAGTATATTCCATTGGAAATGGTTTGATTTTTGACAAGTTTAAATTATATAACAAAAGAGAAATAATTTTATGACATTATTACTACGATACGATTCTTTTGATTTAATTCGAAAATAATTTTTAATACTTTAATACTTTCTTACATTTACGCGAATATGTAACTTGTATTTGAGATTTTAAACAAAACTATGTTTTCGGATTTTTTCGCGGATTTACTTAATTTGATTTTTGGTTCTCGACGTATCGAATGCTTTACAGCAATCGTGGTCGCGGGAGAGACTAAGATATTAGACGTCTCAAACGTCATTATATAGTTGTTACAGACACACTAGAAAGCCTAACCTACAATTGTCATTTTTTTCTATGACGCATTTGTGAGGAAAAAAGCAAGAGAATGAATATCTTCAACATTTTCATTATTACTTTACTTAATTAATTTTAGTGCAAAAAAAAAAAACAAAAAAAAAAAACATGAATTAAATCATCAAATTAAAATGAAAAATATTTATTAATTCAAAAACTTTGTTTTACAAGAAAACCATTATCAATTACGTAACAAGATCCTGTAATCGATTTGGCTTTCGGGCCTGCCAGAAAGATGACTAGGTCAGCTATCTCCTCCGGCTGCGATATTTGGTTTAGAGCCGTTCTTTGTGTAAAGTCTTCACATCTTGCAGGTATATTTGAGTGTTCCAAAAAGTTTGTTACAACTGGTCCAGGGCTGACCGTGTTGACCCTAATACTGTAAGGACCGAGCTCTGATGCAGCACATACAGTTAAATGGTTCAAAGCAGCCTTTGAAATGTTATAATTCGTGAGCCCTGGATAGCCCGTGCCCATCTGTACAACAACACTAGATATATTGACTACATTGCCCTTTGTCTTCATCAGATGCGGTGTCGCCAAAGTTATTAGGAAAACAGCGGCCCTTACATTGACTCTCATTATGTTATCGAAGGATTTTATAATATCGCCATCGGTAAAAGAACCCAATCCGATCGCAGTACCAACATTGTTAACAAGGACGTCTATTTGACCAAATTTCTCAATGGTTTGGTCAATTATTTTCCGAATAACTGCATCTTCAGCAACATCACCAATAATCACTAAAGGATTCTTGCACTTTTTCGCTACAGCTGCTAGTCTAGCTTCATTTCGTCCTACCATCACTACATTAGCGCCTTCGGAACTAAAGGCGACAGCGATCGCTGCGCCTATACCAGAACTCGCTCCGGTAACAATTACCACTTTGTTGTTGAAGTTCATAATGATTATCTGACATGAAATGGCTTGGAGTAAGGTTTATATTTATATACAAATATAGTTATTAGTTAATTTTGTCCAAGCAAGATATTATGTTAAATACCAATAAATACCTTATTAAGTAAATATTTTTTATCCAGCTGATTAACGTGCTGTTTTTTATATTCAAAATGCGTATAATATTACCGCTGTAAGATATTTTTGCGTTAATTAGTAGTATGTAATATATTCTGTTTATTTTTTCTTAACTTCATTTTTTTACTTTTCTGAATAAAAAAATCACGTAGAAATCTTTCTTTTTTGTTTTGTAAATTAGTAAATGAAGGTAATAATAAAAGGTTCATTATTATTGACGATTATAAAAAAAGACAGCGTAATTAGTTTTTTTATAAATAATATAAAAAACTCATTAAAACTTATTTTCTTAATTATACATTAATGTAGCAAAAAAGTATCTCAGATGTCTAGACTTTTCTTAGCTGTTGGTTTCCTACTGGTCATTTGGTGCCTACTTCATCATAGATATAAGTGACTAGCTAAGGTACGTTTAACAGTTAGGTTAGATTTCTCAGAGATAAGATATTTTTAATCGACTTCCAAAAAGGAGGAGGTTCTCAATTCGTCGGACTCTTTTTTTTTGTATGTTCATCGATTACTCGAAGACGCCTGAACCGATTTGGAAATATATTTTTTTGTTTCAAAGGGTATACTTCCCAGGTAATCCCATATAAATTTATCAAAATCGGTCGGGCGGTTTTTAAAAAAATCAACAACTAAGAATTTTTTTAAATAAATTGTTTTAATCGAATACGTTTATTAAAAAATTTTCTTCTCACAAATTACCTGCTTATTACGTCTACACTAAAAATTGTAAAATAAAAACTTAAAAAAAGAAATAAACCGACTTCCAGGCACTAAAATGTAAGAAATAACTAAACGGAGATTTTCATTTAGAATAGATACCTAATCAGATATTTTCGAAGTCGGTGCCAGCCGATGCAAAGCAAAGCTAATAAGTATATTTCGATACGTAAAATACATATTTACCTAATAGATATTCGTATCTTAAAATATCGTCGGCTGGCACCGACTTCGAAAATATCTGATTAGTGATTAGGTATCTACATATTTTAAATTTTACATTTAAGTGCCTGGAAGTCGTTTTTTTTTTAAATTTTATCCCGCAGTAAAAAATATTCTAAATGTTGACCGGAGCTATCATCATACCAAATTTCATCAAAATCTGTCCATGTCCGTGACACGTTCCCAGAGAGACATACAGACAGACAAAAATTCTAAAAACTATAGATTCAGCTTCTGTATCGATAACAATGACTATATCAATAAGATTTTGCAAAAAATATTTAATGTACAGATTCGTCTTAGAATTTCATTATATGTATAGAAGATATTCGAATCTGAGCGGAAGGATATTAGGCGTATTATTTAAAAATAAAATTAACTTGAGACCAATCACGGTCAGATCTGATCGCGAATAATCAATATCGAGGCAAATCTAAGGAGCCTAAACAGACGATATATTATTGTAATGTAAACGCTTTCAGCTGCAATCAAAAATCCAAAGCATTAAACTTGTTTAGTTACTATATCATCAACAGCAGCCCTTTTCAGTCCACTGTTGGACATAGGCTTCTCTCAGGGTGTATCATTGAGCTAGATCTCATGAGAGTTTTGCGCCTCCAGTCTATACCAGCCTAACAGCATCTAGCGTGAGTTTCCGTAACCGTGGTTTCCATTCGATGACCTGACAAGTTGCTAAATATGTACTATAAATTATGGACTATAATGAGAGACACCATAAACGATCGCAATTTAAATAAATTATTATCGTAAAAAATATCAAATAAATTACATGTAGATTGTAGATAAAAAATTGTCTCTTTTACAATTAGTTTTAAAGCTAAACACAGCTAGGAGATACGTGTTTGTAGTTTGATGTGTCGGGAAATTTTCAAAATGAACAAAATATAGGAATATCAAATTTGAAAAGAGTCCAAATTAGAATTCAAAATGATTGAAAACAAAAAAAAGATTAAGTAAGTATATGCTCGTAATCGTTGTTATCTTTCGAAGTTACTCACAGTTCTTCCGGCTTCTGGAGACAGTATTCGAGAACCTTGTTTTTAACTGTTCAAATCAAACTTTTCCATCATGGCTCTGATAAATTATACTTACTATTAAAAGAGCTTTCGCGACTATTAATTGACTTATTGAACCATTTTGAATAAGTCTTGGTAAGAGATCTGATTTGTCGCAGATTTTTTGGGAAAAGAGGACCGGTCTTATTGTGGGACGCATGCGTTGGAGCGTTGATTCCGTCATATTATACGACGCCTTCTCCCGATATTTTATATATCGGAAGACGAATATATAAAATATCGTGGGATAGGAAACTAATGTATTTAAGAATCAAGAATACATTCGTACAAATATATACTTATATAGAAGGCAAAAGTGATTGACTGATGTATCAACGCACAGACCAAACCCTTAAGGCTAGAAAATTGAAATTTCGCACACGTATTCCTCATATGACGAATGCGTCCACTAAGGAAGGATTTTTCAAAATTCAACCCCCATGGGTGAAAGAGGGGATAAAAGTTTGTACTTTTTATTCCATGGACATATTAGCATAGAATTTCGTATGAATTGAGTACGGCAAAAATGAAGAATGAAACCCACTTTTGGAATGTTTTTGTAATTTTAGCGCGAGCGAAGCCGCGGGTTCTGCTAGTTACAAATAAAATTATTGCTCTTTCTTGATATGCGCTGCTACAATCAGAAACAGACGTCAGTGGTCAGACTCGCGAAAATTATTCGAGTTATAATTTGAAATACAGAATAAATTAATATGTTTCTCCTCAAGCAATTCAGTATTTGTTATTCGGCTCATAATCATTAATTTAGTTATTCATCTACGACAGTTAACCTGAAACCTCTGTCATTAGTATAGAATTAGTACTACCGTAGACGTCATAAATTTGTGTATTATATCCATCCATACTAATATTATAAATGTGAAAATGAGTTTGTTTGTTTGTCCTTCTTTCACGTGAAAACGGAATAATGGATTCGCGTTATTTTTTGTGTGAAGATAGTTGGAGGACTGGAGAGTGACATAGGCTACTTTTTACCGCGAAAGATCATCAACTTCCTACGGAAAAACACGTTATAATACAACAAAAAAAATTATTTATGATCAGAATTACTTCTTGGTTAATACAATTAAATAAGTAGGTACGTGTTTTAGCATTTTTCGAAATTCATCTCGTATAGGGGTAAAATAGGGTATGAAAGTTTGTATGAAGCGTACCTTTTTAGAGTTTTTTTTGTAGGTTTAGCGCGAGCGAAGCCGCGGGTTCTGCTAGTAAGTTATATACATGTCGGAGGAAAATTTACTTACCTTTTTCTGCTAGAATGTAAAACCTTATTATTCATATTTTAAGTCACTATGTTATTCAGTTTAGTTTTTATTGCTTTTAAGGTAAATTGAAAGTAAGAGTCTCGAGCGAACCTTGAAGGTTTTTATATATATAATAATATCTTACAATATTTAATGAGCAATTTTTGTATGCATATATATATCTCTCTCTGCATCTAACTATAATAATTTCTTCGACTTAGAAGACTTAACATGAACGTAAGTTTTTTATTGCTGCAAACATTTCCTATGCGTGCCGAGAGATTGATGCTCTAACACCATATTTTCCCACGAACACGTGATCTAGATAGTAGTAGGCAGTTCTACTAACTAATGCTGCAAGTGCAATGAAAACAATGTGTGCAGTGGATCGTAAATCGCGTGATTTCTTTAAATTACAAATGTGTAGTTCTACGCAATACGCAGTTACCGCTGAGCACAGACGCAGACAGGCCCTTACCTCCGTTTATATTTAAATATAATATAATTAACCGACTTCCCAAAAAAAGGAGGAGGTTCTCAATTCGTCGGAATCTTTTTTTTAATGTATGTTCACCGATTACTCGAAGACACCTGAACCGATTTGGATTTTTTTTTGTTTCAAAGGGTTCCCAGGTGGCCCATATAAATTTTATCGAAATCAGTCGAGCGGTTTTTGAAAAATAATTTTTTTTTTTAAATAAACTGTTTAATCTAATATGTTATTAAAAATCTTTCTTCTTACAAATCACCTGCTTATTACTTACGTCTACACTAAAAATGGAAAAATAAAAACTTAAAAAAAAATAGAAACCGACTTCCAGCCTCCAGGCACTAAAATGTAAAAAATAACTAAAGGGAGGTTTTCATTTATAATAAATACCTAATCAGATATTTTTGAAGTCGGTGTAAGATATGAATATCTAATAGGTAAATATGTATTTTGCGTATCGAAATATATTAGATTTGCTTTGCATCGGCTGGCATGGCTGGCTGGATGAGATAATATATCGAATATCGACCCTACTTACTGTGTCAACGGTTGCGGGTTTGAGTCCCGCTAAAGACATTTACTTGTGTGATGAGCACGAATGTTTGTACTTGAGTCATGGTTGCTTATACTTATAATATGTATGTATTTAAAGTTATATATGTGTAGTGTATCAACTATCTATTACCTATCATCCATAACACAAGCCTTGTAGATCACCATGAAACTAGATGGTGCTTCACAGCGCGAAAAATAACGAAAACACCCACTCACTTTTCAAATTTCTAATTTCAGTACGATAAATAAAATTGATAAATATGTATTTCTTTGCATCGCTCGCACCACTTCGCACTCCTTAGAACAATTCAAAATAACCAATATAATATAAATTCAAATTAAATATTATTATAAATAAAAATCCATATCTTTCAATAAATAGGCGTGTAGAGAATAATTAAACCATAATAACAGAGAAAACAAAAAAAACTGATCGCGTAAATAATATAAACGAGTTTTTTTTATTACTCGACTGTCAATATGTAAAGTACAAAATGTTCCATTATTTCACGTATATGTGTATGTCACTCACAA